TTTTTGATGCATTTAAAAAAATAATAACTTGAATAGTCGAATGACTTTATAAAGGACTTACTTTATCAGGAGAATTTTATCGAAAAAAAATTCTCAAACGTTTCACATAGCTAATGTTAAATCAATTCATTGTAACGTGGTGTGAACTCTCGTAAATATTTGTAAGCGGAGGTGCTGTAAAGTTATTTTAAAGTTTTGAATCTCTTAATAAATTTCCTGGTTTTGATCTTTGTGATGTGACCTAGATGTCACTGAGTTGTTTTTAAATGAGATGCGAACGTTTTTACTGAAGCGCTGACTCTTCATTAGTTGTTTACATTTTGATTGTTCAAATGAATTGATCATCATTTATCATGCTAAATGTTTTTAATTATTTTTCTTTATTTGATGGGGTAAAATTAAGAATGAATCAAAGTAGCAAACAGCTATTTAAACATATATATATATATATATATATATATATATATATATATATATATATATATATATATATATATATATATATTTCAATTGTTATACAAAAAAATTAAAAAAAAAAAATTAAAGAAATTAAAACCCAAAATTAAGAAAAAATATGTTGTCCAAAAAAATTAATTAAGTTTTTAAAAATAACGACACCACCAACTATAAAAACAACAACATTATTAATAATAATAACAACTTAACAACAAAAGCAATAAAAAGCAACTCTAACCCAACGACAACATGAACATAACAATATCAACAAGGCTTGAATAAACAAATGGGAAGCTTTTGTCACCTGCTGGCAACGTTCAACGAAGTTTTCTTACGTGAGCGCCTGCTTGCATGTAGACAAGTGTTGTTGCGATAAATGCCTGGATGCTTATTTAATTCACAATTGATCGATGATCAGTCATCCATCACCAACTAGATTATTCAGTCTGGAAATAACGACTATTGCAAGATTTATTCAACCACCCTAACACATGTTTACTCAGAGAATAAAATGTTTTAGTCTGATTGGAAAAGAAGATGTGTGAGTTGCATTTGCCAAGAAGTTTCTAGATAATAACAATTTTACAACACTTTATGTATAACGACACCAAGTTATGTTGTCGCTGTGCAACAAAATCAATTTTGTATTTAATTGTGATAAATCGCATAAAAAAGCCGTTGAAAATGGTTCGAAGCAAAGTTTATTTATCACGAGAAGTTTCAACAGCATGAAGGAAACCTGAAAATAATATCGCGTCTGTAATCAATCATCATTGAAATATCGTTTTCAAATAATTCCACTTACTATTATAACCACTCAGATATTTATTAGATGGTTCGTTAAATATAAATAATACATTTAATTTTTTGGTTATTTTCACAATTCTTTTCATTTTCAAAGTTTTCATAATTATTCTCATTAATTTATATATAAAAAAGAAAAATAATGCATTGGCTTGAAGCTGATCAATTTTGTTGGTAGAGAGGAGGCAATATTTTACAAGTGCAACTGGAAAATTTTCTCTGGTTAGGCAGATGGAATTTTTGAGTGAAGATTTAATTAGGGAAAATTATTAACAAATATTGAATGCCAGGATAACGATTAATGATTTGATAATATATTTAGTACTTTTGGAAAATAATAAGTATATCACTTTTTATGATAAATTAAATCCTTTGTTAATTTTTTAAACCGTTTTTATAGTGAAAAATTGAATTTTTTTATGATGTTTTCATTTTTTTGTCACAAGTTTATAAAAATTACATAGCACAAAATGTTGCATTTGCTTTCATGCAGGCTGCTAAGGAGAGTTTTACTCCTTTCATCATGCAATTTTGATAGAAAATGAAATAAAAAGTCATCAATCCTGAATTAAACACAAAACTGTCAATTTGATGGAAACAGAAGTTTTAAATTCTTTTTTAAACGAAGAAATAGAAAGTTTTGAACTTCTCAGCAACATCGGAAGACTCTTCTAAACACCAGGACCAGACCTGCAACAGCAGTACAGCGCATTACAATCTGCAAATAAGTCTCAGATGCAATGTACCACCTAAGGTACCGCCGCATGAGTTCGCTGATTTGCTTGGTTGACTGGACGGAACATTTCAAATAGCTCACGTAAAGATAGAGTGAACGGGTGGTCTACTTTTTCCATATAAACGTTGAAATCCCCAACAACTAAAATATCAGTGCCCATCATAGTTTCTGTTAAGACCAGTGTGTCAGGACCTTCAAAAATCAACTGTAGATGCTGTCAACTTTGTTGGTTAAATCGATCTGACATTCAACCGACATATTAAATCTGTAACGACCATATGACCATCATTACTAGTGTCATCACCAACACTATGTGCGCCAAAGTCATTTACATTAACATTACCACCAATGTCATTTTTATCTCTGTCGCTACCATCATCACCATCACCATCCGCACCACTACCACCAACATTGCCATCACTATAACCACCATTATTTTCATCATCTCCATCACCATTTACATTACCACCATAGTAATTATTATTTTTATTATTATACATAAGATTTGAAAAAATTGGAAAAAAATTTAAATTCCAATCTAGGCATGCTACTTCGTAGAATGGAATTTCACAACTTTCTTATTAAGAAGCGGCGTAGAGAAAAGTGCACAACCGGCTGGCGAAGGAAGGCAGCATTTATTAATTAACTTCACCTCTCCCTTCATTGCGTACATTGAAGGGATGTAACTGTGAAGAAGAAGGAGAAGAAGAAATTGATGTACCAACGACGCTCTGGGCAACAAACGATCAATTCTATTCTTCCGCAATCAGTTGCTCCAACTTTTATAAATCTCTACCGACATAACGAAGGATGCTGACTTTAACGAGATGTTTCCTAGAAATTGTTTCTTTTCATAATTAAATGTTAAAGCATTAGGCTTTTATTGTGCGTGTTATTTTTGAAAATTTTGTTACGCGTGATTAATCAGTCGACTGAGTTACAAGATCATTGGCATCTTTATATGAAGAAGCAATCAATCATTTTAAATAAATGACGTTAATAATATGCTTGATTAAATATCTGAGATTATCACAAGATGAAAATAGGATTTATTTTTGTAACAATTTCAATTGATTAATGAAAAAAATTGAACAAATTTGATGTTGGACGCTTTGTGAGAGCGATGATTCAAATTATTTGAATGTAAAATATTTCTATTTTTTAACTATCTTAATCTTTAAGCTTAACTAAAATATTTAAAAATTTATTGAGAGTTTAAGAAATTTGACTTTAGTTGCAAAATTTTATCTGTTCAACTTTTTGATCACGATTGAATTCAGGTTTTTGAAAAAATTTCAAGTTTTGTTAAAAGATGCTAAATTATCAAATTTGAATGCTTCCTATTCATTCTTTATGCCTCATTACAAATTTAGTCACAATTTAATTGAATGAATGAAATTGTACAAGTAGTAAGTGGGAACGGTCCAGCATTGATTGCCTCTGCGGAAGTTTCCGTAGGATGAACATCGTTAACATTCAACCTCTGGAGAAAGGAAAATGATGATGCTTATTTTCATGCTTGGCCGGCAATCATTCGTATTTGATAAGCATTTTTTCAATTGGAAATTTTGGAGAATTTTTTCATTGGTTTGTCACTGATCGAATTTTGAAATGGCATGAGCAACCGAATGAGTCGATGAATGAATGGATGAATGATTGAATGAATGAACGAATAAATTAATAAAATAAAAACCTTACTGAACATAAAATTGACTAATATACAAAGAAAAAATTTAAAAAAAGTTAAATAAACAATAGAAGCGAAAGACTAACAAAAAGACCAAGAAATAATGAACACGAACAACCAAACAAATTAGTGGATGCAAAAATTAGAAAAATATTGGAAGAAAAGTAAAAAAAGAATATACTAACAAACGAATGATTAAATAAATGATTGATTAAACAGAATAATGAATGAATGAATAAATTAATCAACTAATTTATAATTAAAACATGGTTAGCATTCAAAACAAAATTGGATTCAAACGGCTTCATGTTCACGATTACTAAATGCTATTAATATATTCAATATGGTTGCATGGAATAAATATATTTTCATCGTGCAATCAATTTAAAGAGAGATTTTGCCAAAAAGCCAAGTGATTAAATTAGCTTCAAAGTAAGAAGAATGTGTTGCATCAGTAATTAGGTATATCACGTAACTTCGCTTGCATTTGGAAAAACATTATTTTCCTTAGGCTTTGCCCTCACCACTGGAGTTACACACAACCAGTCTCTGTAGTATTTTTATTACAATTATTATTATTATTTTTATTACGAAAATTAACATCACAATCTTAAGCATTGCTAAGTTGAAATTGACATTGGTTTAAAATAATTTTTCATGATCAGCGCTGTATTCTGATAAAATAAATAGTTTTTTTTTATTATAAAATTAACATTTATTTGAAAACTGCAAAACTGAAAGCTAAAACATCAAATGATGCCAAGTAAATGATAGTGTAAATGAAAACGCTCTGTGTGGTGGTCACGAAATTGGGAGATATTACAAATTGCGTGCTATTAAAACCAGCGGTTTAAACAGCAACCTTATGAATAAAGCAATTTATAGATATATAAATTTTTGAAAATTTCAAGCGCTGACATGTTTTGGCAATGCTAGATTGTTTGATGCTTTTTAGACAACCAAATGAAATTTGGCGTTTGTAATAGCAATTTAAATCTATTAGCACTAAATTGTCCACAAATTATTTTATTTAAAAAATATGTCTATGTTGTAGATACAGTACAATTCATTTGAAAAATCTATTTTGAGATACAAACAATTTTTAATAAATATTTTTAAAATTTTCAAAAAAAGCGTGGAGAATAAACTTTCATGCAACTCGTTTTAATTCATTTCCTGGATACGCGTTACTTTTTGTCTCTTTAAATAGCAATTTTTTAGAACTATTCATTTTTTACAGTATAAAAAATGCAAAATTATATATTTATAATTATGATAATAATTATTATTATCAATAAAAAAATATTTTTATTTCAGGTTGTCGGAGAATGGGGTCTTGGTTTCCACTTGTGTCTGGCCTGGACCGGATGTGACGTCATCCTCTCAACAACCTCCATTATGCATCTCTGTTCCATCGCCCTCTACCGCTACCACGGTATCTCCAACCCCCTCCAAGGTCGTAGGTACAAGAAGGGCAAAGTCACCAAACTGGTCGTGCCCGCCTGGATCGTGTCCGTAGCTCTCTCAGTACCTTTCGTCGTTCAAGCTTACTTGGACCCGTCAAACATTTTTGAAAAAATTTACGACACAAAAAGTTTGATAGAAACTTTTGAAAAAAATGAAAATGTTATTTCAAAGTTAGAAACTATATTGAAGGCAATTGATATGTACAACAACAACAACAGTGTTGAGCGGGACTGTTTAGCCCTCCTCAGTGATGCCAGACTAATGAATCTCTCACAATTCAACTCAACAGCATATTCAAACATGTTGTTTAAGATTCATAACAAATGCAAGTATCAAACATTGAATGCAGCAAATCATACAAATTCTGTTCTACTGCCATCGTGGCTGTCAGAAAAGAATATCGACCTGAACAAAAGCACTTGCGGAATTTACAATCAAACGTTCGCTGTTTATTCATCATTAGTGTCTTTCTTCATCCCACTGATCGTCATAACAGTTGTTGTCTTTCTCTCTATACAAACGCTCAGAAAGCGATCTGACCTACAGGTTTCTAAACAAGTCGTTGCTCGAAACAGCTTTTGTTGCAACGACGACAATCGGGAGACATTAGACACAGAACCAGATGACACGGTTACTACGTCTCATTCAACCTCTCCGACCGCTTCAGTATGTCTGTGCAATGAAGTTTGTAACAGAAGAAAACCCAAATTTAAATACAAAATGGTTGCAAAAAATAAGGAAAAACGCCACGAAATAGTTATTGATGAGACATTTTTCTTTAAAAAAAGCTTTTTCAGTGGTTGCATGAAGAATCGTTTATCAAAGAAACGACTGGGGAACAGTTTAAGATCTGACCGGCCTGCTGATGAATTCGCGATGAAGGTCATTAAGAAATTCAATTTGTTTAATGATGAAAATTTTCGTTTTGCACCAGGTGTTTTCAATTTGCAAGAACAAAACTTTCAAAAACACAAAACTCAGCATGATCAACAAAACACACGTCACCACACTCGTACCGAAAATTTCAATTATTATCAACCACAGTCACTTGAACGTTGCCGATTTCCTCAACTATCACAATTTCCAAAACAACAACACCCACAAAAAAATGCAAAACAAATAGTTGAGCAAACACAATTTCATTATAACGATCAACTGAAACAACAATCGCTACTGCTTGATCCTGATGTGAAAAATCGACGAAAAATTGAGAACACGCAAAATCAAAAACAACAACGTTTTTTTAATCATTCGGTTTGTCAATCACAACAATGCAAACAACAGCAACAACGTCGCAAACAACACTCTCCAGAAAATGAAGAAAAACAAGAACACGCATCTGATATTCTGCACGGTGGATTATCGCCATCATCTCCATCAATCACCGATCCGAGCTCATCTCGACAGCATAACATTTTTTCATGTAACAAAATTAAGTCGACGAAAAATACTGAAGCCAAAAACAACTCGTCAAGCATTAACCACAACAGCAGCAACAACAACAACCACAACAACGACAACCACAACGACAACACATTAACTAACAAAACCATCAACCGTAGTATAAATGTCAGTGACGTTAAGAGCGGCAATTCCAACAACGATCTTAATGTCAGCATTAGCAGCAGCAGTAATGACATTAACAACAAAAACAACAATATTAACATTGAAAATCACAACAACACACTTAACAGTAGCAGAAAGACATATTTGCTTTGTAGCCATAATCGCAGCAGCGACAGCCACAGAACAAACAACATCAAAAACAGTCGTAAATCCAATCGATTCAATAAAATAGATAGATTGGAGAAAGTCGTCCCTAATAAACTGGACGATTGTGTGGTTGATAACATTTATTTGGCGCCAGATGGAACGTCTGAATGTAATTTGAAAGGCTGCTCCAAGGATGACGATGAGATAAAATGTGATGAAGATAGCGAGGAAAAAACTGACGCTAATGACATTAATTACAATTATGATGTCGATAATTATTCAAACAGCGTCACCTGTGTTAGTTACACCGACGATGTTGTCATTGTGAATGAGCATTGCGGAAATGCTAAATATGAAAATGAGGATGATAATCGCCGGTTTAGGAAAGACTTCTTTTGCATGAAGGTCAAGGACGAGGGCGACGACGTAGATGATGAACTCTCCAGGAACGTCAATTATATGCAAGGAAAAGCAGGTTGCAACAATGATTCACTGCCCACTCAAAAATACTTCATTAATAATTCATTCTTCAACTTTGATGTTTTCAAACTTCATAAAAGAAAAAATCCTCACAATTTATATGAAATGAAAAAGTTTGAAAATAAATTGTCAACCACGAGTGATGCTGGAAGGTGTGATGCCAGCATGTGCGACAGAAATAAGCGCTGCTGCAGAAGCGAAGTCAAATGCCAGTTATACAAAAACTTTGCAAATTTCAACAGCTGCAACAACAACCGCAACCCAAACAAAGAAAGAAGGATCTGTGAAACAGAAAACAAAATCATCTTCAATGCAAACGATGGCAGTAATTACAACAGCCATCACAACAAAAACATCTACATCGCTAACAACATCAACAAAAATAACACCAACGATGTAGGCTGCAGTACTTTAATGTTATCCAACCGCAGCACTTCAGAAAAAAAACTCCACGTTGTATGTTTTTTGAAGCAACAAAAAATTATTAACATCAAAGACTGTGCGGTTAGGAAAAGTTGTCCGTGCAAACAAAAAGAAAGAAAATCGTCTTCACCCCCACTGCCCTGCTTATCATCGCCGTTCCGAAACAAATTAAAACAACACCACAAATCCAACACGACGACTACTACTACAACTACCGCCAACAGAAACAGCAGCACTTCAACAGCCAGTCCATCGACACAATCCAACACTAAGCCAATGGCTTACATTGAAATCCTAACAACAGCTGATTCTTGTAAAGTTAACGGAAGAGAACGACGTGCAGAAAAAACTTTAATTTGGGTTTTCGCTGTCTTCGTGATCCTCTGGTTACCGTTTTTTAGCGCTAACTTAGTGTACGGACTCTGCAGATCGCCTGCGTGTCAGATTCCTCCCGCTCTTTTTCAAACGTTTGTTTGGCTGGGCTACTTGTCGTCGGGAGTCAACCCGTGCATCTACACACTCCTCAATAAAGATTTCCGATCGGCTTTCTACAAACTGCTGACTTGCAGGTTTCGCAGTGGAAAGAAAATTATCTACAGAAGAAATGCAAGAAAGATTAAAAAATTCAGAGAGGTAGGTGCTGCAGGAAGTTACGCTGGTGGATCATCGTCGACAGGTGGTGGTGGTGGTAGGTGGTCGTTCAGGTAGCTGCCACTTCAATTGCTCCGACATGGAAAATGTTCCGAATGCCCCACTGATCATCTTTCGATGTTCAATCTCTCCTACGTACATACACTTTTGATTTAAAATAATGAGTATTATTTTAAATCAAAAAACTTTAACATTAACAAGTATGATGATAAGTTGAGGGAAAAAGTGATCATTTGTAAATAACTGTGAATGCATCTATGATTGTTTCGTTCTTGAAATATATAGTCTTCATTTGTTATAGTCAGGATAACATGCGCTGTAATAATGACAAAGTTAACGTCAAGAGCAGTATTTTAAATTGCTTTTAATAATTTGAAACTTATTAATTTTTTGATTAAAAAACCTTAAAAAGACTTTACTTTTCTGTTAACTTTTGTTTCCATGTGGTTTCTATTAAATATTGTTATTGACACAGCCAATCGTCTCATCAGTTGATGAGTTTAAAAATAAAACAACTCTCTTTATATAATATATTTATTTATACATTTACGTAAATGTGAAGATGAAAAATAAATTTTGATAACTTTGTATTCAAATAATGAAAGATAAATTTCCAAATTGTGTGAAAGGCACTGACCGAAGCCTGCATTTAAATGGTGAAAACAGAACTGGCAAGCATCCCTTCATGGAAGTACGAAAACGAAAGCAGACATGAAGAATGGATATTTTTTTTGCGTGCTAATATTTGTTTTCATCTTCCGTGCACGAGAGTAAGCAGCCTTCAGATATTTTTTGAACTGCCAACACTAATTCTTTTTTAATTAAAATAAATCAAAAGAAATTGAGTTAAAAAATACACAACAGTTCGCTATTAATTATTTTTAAGTTAGTTCTTCTGAATGCTTTTTCCAACGGTTACATAACAATTCGTTACTTTAATTAGTTATCTTATTGTGGTATATTATCTTCTAAAAGCGTGAAATAGATGACAAATTTTTGAACATTCGTTTGACCAACCAAACACCCTGTTGGAAATATTTTTTTGGCATACGACCAAACAACAATGAGTCATCATTGCAAGGTCGACTTTACTTTTCTGTTAACTTTTGTTTCCATGTGGTTTCTATTAAATATTGTTATTGACACAGCTTGTCTTGTAGGATTAAATTTGCAATACTTGGCAGGTTTTTATTGTAGACTTATTTACTTTTACACAATTATTTCGTTGGCTAACTGGGGCTTTTATAATTGAAACTTCAAATTAATCTTATCTGTTTATTATCTGGTTTGAAAATTAATTCTTGGTTTCACTTAGTTTTTTTAACTTATTTTTTGTATAGGCCTACTATGTTTTCAAATGTTTCAATACACATTCTTCTACATGAATTTCTCTCAAAAGCAAACAATTAAGTTTTCTGTTTGGCCATTTATTGAAGATTGTTAGAAGTAAATAAAAAGGTTGCAATTAAAAAAAACAATTTTAGGTATTAAGAAAAAAGTTTAAGTAGCTCTGAAATTTTTAGCAGAACAAATTAACATCTCCGTCAAACACTCAAACATGACTTATAACAGGCAAACTCAGTTTACACTTACAATGAAACATTCGGAGATTCCATTTCATAGCACATTTATACTTTCTATGACATTATTCATGTATGTTTCACCACATTGTTCGTAATGTTCACCTTATTGCACTTGATGTTCACGATATCATTGTGCGTGATGTTCACCACACTGTACAGTGATGTTCACCACATTGCACGTGATGTTCAGTCACTGGTCCTCTGTGTCTTCATTAGAACGTTGTTTTGTTTTTATGATTGCCTGCCTGTTATTTTAGTTAGAATTGATGTTTGTTTCTACCATTTATTGCACTTGCCAAAAACTTCAGTTTTTAATTGGTCTTATTTGTCGCTACCAGCATGTGATTTGTTGCTTTGTTTTCATGCACCCGTGCAAAATTCAAATTTTTACAAAATCTAATGCAAGTAAGTTTTGTGTAAATTAACTAGAAACTTTGCAACGAAAGGCTAACAGTAAGTTTTTCTGAAGATTTTAACACTTGTCCAACCAGCCGTCATATCGCATGTAAAACAAAATAAAAATGAATGGGATGAACTCAGAACATTAATGCCAACGTTCTGCATGCTAACATTTTAACGTTTGAATGAACATCTCCATTCCCTGGCCCTCACACACCAGAAGTAATCAACTCCACGATGGTAAACACTCCTGCCAAAATAACAAGTGAACGGTGGTGAAGTCATTTTCGGATAATACCAATATAGTGACCCTCAAAGTTGCTACTATATTTGTGTCTTGTGGCAAAACATGAATTCTAATTTTTGAAAATTTTACAAAAACAAAACCGCAGACATGTTTATGGAACAAGCTTTGCATAACGCATCTCTGCATAGTAAAAGTGAATAAAGTTCCGCGGTTGTTTCTACCTCTTTGTTGCACCTGCCAGGAACTTCAGTTTCTAATTGGGCTCATTTATCTCTACAAACGTGTGAAGTTTTTGAAGTTATCATAAATTTCATTTACATTCATTTCCTTATCAACAAACGTCTTGATTTTTTTCAAGATTTTTATCAAACACAAAAAAGTAAATATAAAACCAGAACAAAAATACGAGAAACATAAACTCCGAGTCCAAAGAAACGAAAAGTAAACCTGCTTCATGTGGTGATTAAGAAAGGATTAACGGAGAGCTTTTTCTCTTGTGTTGCAGAAAACTCAAACGTTCGGCGACATTTGCAATGCAGAATAAACTGGTAATTTATTATTTAGATGGAGTTTTTTTAATATTTTCATAAACATGTACGTAATTATAATGGGAGAGCCCTAAAAATTGTTTCACGTCTGTTCGTATTTAAAATAGTTAATAGATGTATTAGCATAACCATCCAGTGTTACAACGCAGTAATATTTTAGATTTAAATTATATAAAAATATATAAAATTAAATAAAATTTTTAAGCGTTAAACTCTAGTCTGTTTTTTCTTCGAATCTTTTTTGCACTTGATTCTGCTTAAAGTTGCAAAACGTTGTTTGAAGTCATTGTTATTTGTGGCTGTTGATGTCGCGTTACTGCCTGATTTGCCTTCTATGCTACTCTTCACACTGTGCGTTTTGGAAATAATTTTGTTGCAAGGTTTTGATGGCTTATCCGAATTTACAAAGCCGACAATTTTATTTGGGACCGGTATGTTGTAGCGGCACGAGTTGGACCGCAGTGGTAGTGTTGAAAACGATTCCGCGTTCACTTGCTGATTTTGTTGTTGTTGTTGATGATGCTGATGCAATTGTTGCTGTTGTTGTGATTGTTGCTGGGTTTGCGATTGTTGCTGCGATTGTTGTTGCCGGTTGGGTTGTGCTGGTTGCAAGTTGTTGTGTGAAGAATTGTTCAACTGCGACGTACATTGGTGTTGCAGAAGTTGTAACTGAGGCTGTTGCAGATGTTGATGCAGTTGCTGAAACTGTAAAGCTTTGTAATGGTGAGTATGTTGTAGTGATCCTGAGCAGTAAGGCATCTGCTCATTTGAAAGCTGTGCTGCAAAACTAGGATGCGATTGTATTTGTGATGTTTGCTGTTGGGGTTGTATTTGTGGCTGCTGCTGTTGTGATTGTAGCTGTAGTTGCGTCTGCTGATGTTGAAGTTGCGATTGTTGCTGCTGAAGTTGCGTTTGTTGCTGCGAATCAGATTGTTGTTGATAATGCTGCTGAGATTGTTGTTGAACGGATAACGATAGTAAACAAGACGTTGATGATTGATTATGCAACGCGAACGACGACGTTGTAGATAGTGGTTGAGTGAGCGCTCCGCACGTTGCTGGCAGCATCGTCAGAGGTGAAGACGTAGGCGCCAGTCGACAACTAGAAGTGGCAGACGACATGGAGGTGGTGAGCGTATTCAGAGTGTCGGAGAACAAAGAAGAATGTATCGATGGTTGTAGACGGGATTGAATTATGGCAAAATTTTGTTCATTGTCGCTTTGTTGCAGTGGCAAGCACTGATGCGGTCGATTGCACTGATGCACCGAATGGTGTCCCAACAAACAATTGTTGCTACCTGCGTTGGAGTTCAGCGCGTTGGATGAGCGATTGAATGATTTGGTCACCACGATTCGACCTCCGCCCACTGAACAGTTCTGAGTGCCGCACCGACCGAAACAACAAGCACGCTTCAAACACATTGTTTTGTCATTCTTCACTGCATTTCTTAGCGCAAACAGCAGGAATGAAGTGAAGCCGTTCATAGAAGAGAGGACGCAGTGACATTTCTGGAGGGTTGGACTTTTTGAATGGAAAGCCGATGAGGCAGATAACGTGTAAATAATCCACGATATTAGGAGTAACATTTTCAACGTGATTATGCCGAAAACCTGGCGAATAAACAAAAAATTTACTTGTTTGATTTGACATTAGAAAAATTTTTTATTGAAACGCGATTATTGCACTTATGATGACGTCACCCTCGCCAACACGGATGTTTTTTGATTACCTCAGTCCGGGAGAACATGTGGATGTGTGTAGTGACCTGGTCAGTTGGGAACTGGTCATCAACGTCAAACGATGCGGTTTTGTTCAATTCATGGGCGCCATATTTCGGCCTTTCATATGCAAACCTTCCGTTTATATATATAGAAGTTATAAAATTCCATTTAAGTAATTTTGTATGAAACTTCTTGTTCACAAAATAAAAATTCGATAATCAATTTTTCAACTTTATTGCATTGAAATATTGTTTAAAAGAATTTTTTGCGGCAAATAAGAATGTTCAAGAGTGTCTGCAAAAAAACCTGTAACATGGTAGATACCTCCAGAACAGCAGACCGCACCAGAGCGATGACGTCAGCAGACAGATGTACACGGGAGCGATCAGGGTGGCCCATATGGCAGCTTCATCTGCTCCTTCGTCCCAACATCTATTTTTTCAGGTTGTCGGATTAGATGACAAATGTGTGAAAGAAAATAATTTAGAATTTAAAAGTACTAATTTAAAAAAAATTGGTTTGCTACTTTCATTGGCAAATTGTGATCAAATAAAAAATGTTTAGCCAGATAACTTAGCTTTATGTGCTTTTTTTTAAATTTTTGTTACAAAACATAATTCAACAAAAATAGTTTTAATCAGATCTGAAGAAAAGGTTTAATACTTGGAAGAGTTAGGCACAAATCCGTACGCATTCAACGCTGCCGAGACGATCAACTGTAGGAAAGCCAAGCCTGAACCAATTTTCAGTTTACGTGTTTTGAAATATCTTCAGTATTTTTTCAAATTTGATGCTAATCACATCATATCATTCAATCATTCATTACTAGTATTATAAAATTTAATCACTAGTCTATGTTATGTTATTTACTTATCTACGACACAATAAGATTTAAAAAACACAATATTTAATAACTATTTCGAAACGCTGGGATGTTTTGAGGAAAATAAAACACATGTGACAAACCCCAAACAGCAAAAGCTTTCCTTCCTATAGCATTAAAACTTTTTGGGCCGTTTCGTTCATAAACACAATCGTTTCCATCTGGACCACTGTTGACGAGGCCAACCACGTTGACGCTTGAAGCACTTGGAACCGCAGTTACCAGTTTCGTGGAGGATCTACTGAATACAAACTGAACCAAGCAGGCAAACCACGTGTGACCTGCAACGGTGAAAAAATTGGCCAACGTGGAGATGGGAGTGCAGAAGTTTTCGGTCCAAGGCCAGAGAACGTTGTGGTTGTAAGTGATGAGGAGGCAGGCGTCCATCATTGCCATGCACACGCAGAACTGGAGAATTATCTGGCCGTACTCTTGGCGGTTGAATGAGCTTCAAAGGACCATAAATTGAAATTAAATAAATAATTATTCATATAAATTAACATGCAATTGAATTCATGTGCATTACTGACTTGAATGTGGCAAAATAAACGGTGACTGCTAGGTTGGACAGGATGGAGACGAGGAAACAAACGAGGGACATCATGGCCATCACGACGTCGTCCCTCACGTTAACTGATTGAGCAAAGGTGGAATCCTGTTGTTGTTGCGTTGTTAAAAGTTTGAAGTCAAGCTCTCTTGTGCACTTGATTCAGAGGTTTTGACGACAAACAACCACACATCTCACACATTGCATATGATTGGCGGGGGTCTCTTGGCATTTTTTTCAATTCAATAAAATTTTAATTAGCAATTGAACACTTGTTAACAACAAATCCTATTTACTGGAAGACCTGAAGTGTGCGCTAGTAGGGATGAGTAGCAGTCCACAGTAGCAGATTTTTTTTAAAATTCGTTTATTATGAACAAACAATAAATTTGTTACATAATGGGGCATTCCAAAAGAGTAAATCTTAACTAAGCGGAATCCCCAACATTTAAAAAAGTAATCCATAAATTCATAGTTCAATTAAATAAATGTAAATTAAATAATTTTTCTTTCTTTTTTAAGACTTTTAAAAAATCAATTTTTAAAACATATATATAAAATATGAAAAACTTATAATGTTTAAAGCTAATTAATATATGCATGCATATAAAACCAATTAATATAACCATATATGTAAAATATGTAAAATTTATAATGTTTAAAACCAATTAATATATGAATACATACACATGTATACATACACATATTTACCCACCCATACATATACTATACATACTTACAATTATAGACACACATACTCCCATAAACACACCCACTCACTCAAACACACACACACATACACACACTCTCCAATATATATGTAAGCATTACATATAAACAGTACATAAACAATCATATACGTATATATTGAAATTGAAGAACAATACTTTAAAGATGAAAAGAAAAAACTTAAAAGATGAAATGAAAAAGTAGCAGATGAGTAATGAAACTAAATAAATCCAACTAAAACAGAAAAAAATTGTGACATAATATAACTTCAGAAAATTCAAATATACATAAAAACATGTACACACATAAACATACATACTTACAATTTGAAAAAAAGATATGAATATAGACCTGAACGATGGCCAAATAGGACATGATGTTCGAGCAGCAGACAATTTGTTCATCATTGTTCGTTAGCGTTTCAACCTCGTCCACTGTCCACGATTGAACTCGAATAAATAATTATTAACGTTTATTAGATTTAATTGAATGATTTATCTAAATGATAAAATTAATAATTGAACGATTATTTAGCTAATAAATTTGATAAATTATTTTTTTTTCAAATAACCTAAAAAAATGTTTAAGTTCATTTCTGCTAACTGAAAAACTGAATATAATTGATAGAAACCTTGTGTTTGCATCGAATTTAATTGTTATCGTTTAAAGTTAGATGGAAAAACGTGATTCAGTAACTCAATCACATGATTTATAACATCACGTTCGTAACGTTAAATTGATGCAAAAAATTATTCACAAAGTGATCTGAAGAAGAGCGCAAAGATGATGTTTCAGCTGATGGCGTAGCGCTGATCAGAAAACAAAATTTGTGTTTTTGTTTGTTTTTTTTTGTGCGAGATTTCAATTTAAAAATTCGCATATTTATTTTTGAGTAATAGAAATCATTTGTCATCGTGTGAAGTCACTTACTTGTTGCATTCCAGGAAGCACATCTGTAAAGGCGAGAGGGCTGAAAAAAAGAAAAATCAAACTGGATTATTAAAAACAGAAATTTTCATTCTAACCCAACTTAAGTTTGTAGCAGTTTGCTTGCACAATGTGCAGTAACTGTCGTAATTGTAATCATTTTCACAAATCGAGACCGCGCCAAATAAATTGATGGTGGTAATAATTAGAAAAAAATATTCTGTGTTGGAATTAATTAAATCATTCGTTAAGTGATTTTTTAAAATTATAAACATCAAAAAAAGTTCATAGACATCTAACTTTACGGTGGCTGACGTGCAAGTTAACTAAACATGGTAGTGAAGAAGAATCAGTTTGTAGATGACGATGGTGGTTGGTGTTTGGACCTGCTTGCAACTTGCTCCACTGCGGGATGGCAGATACCCAGATGACCGAATTGTGTAGGAGTTTGACGAATTGTTGCTGTTGTTGCAGTTTGTTGGGTGGATGTTGTTCTGTGCGTTGTTTTTGTTGTTTGAACAGTTTTGAAGTTTTAAAGAACACGTAGACCATCCTGTCAAATGAGATTGCTGCTGCTGCTGCTGATGATGATGTTGATGCTGTTGTTGATGCTGAAGGTGAAGGACGAAGTTCGTTGCTGTCCAATAATATTTTGAAGGCAGAGTAATCCTGTGTCATTCGAAAACCACGTTTGATTAGTTGTTTGCACAAATATTTAACTTTCTAGATACTCAAAAATTCCAAATACAAAATTTGTTTAGAACTACCCGAGAACATTTAATTCAAAAACTAAAAACGATCATGACAGGAAATTTTTGTCCGAAAGTTGACGTCAGCAAATTTCGACCTTCCCGCCTAACGGCATGTGTAACGTTGCAATGTAGAAATATCATTTGCTCGAACCATATGCGGTGAAGGTCTTTGCATCAGTTGCAACATTATGCTGTTTGAAGAACAACCATGGAAGTTAAATATTATTTGTTAAAAAGTTTTTTACCCATAAAAAACACTGTTTTGCCATTAACAAATACTTTGATGTGTTTCAAAGTTTTTAAAACCTACGAAAGAAATTTTATATTGCCAACAACGTTTGACAAAAACGAATAACAATGAAGCAAATGAAAGCTCATCTCCGCCATATTCGATTCTGTGTCATCATCGTATGAAAAAAAGTTGATTTTCTTTCAATGGCAAAAAATAACTTTTTTTCTGCGGAATCCCAATTTAATTAATCGTGTTATTTTTCTTGCTAGGCGTAAAAAATTATTTTTATTTCTCTGTTTTCTTACACCTCATTTGACCTCGCAAGAAAACGCATGATTTGTTATCTATGTGATGTCACTGCAAAGAAATATGACGCCAGAGGTCAGAGTTCATCATGACAAAAAGTATTGATACGCGCTAAGCTTACAAACGTTTAAAAATTTATTTTACAGCTTTACATACAAAGTAAAAACTATTTTTGGGAACATTCTCGTTAAAGTTATTTTCTTATTTTAATTGTTTGAACCAACAAGAAATTTAAAAAAAAACATTAAATTTTTTGTGGCGTGATGAAATTTTTATAGATACCGGCAAAAGAGTTTAACCTTTGATTGGAATGTAACGGAATGCACTCGATGCTGCGCTGTTTTCAGTTTCAACTTTTGTTGATGTGGATTCGTCTGCCACTTTTCAACAAAAATTTCAACATTGTTGAGAGTTTCATTCATGTTCTTGGCGTCGAACCAGTTCACGTTAGCAATGTATTTCTCAATAATCAACAACAATCTAGAAATTATTTTTAACCTGGTTCCTTATTTTGATAATTAATTTTAAATGGTAAAAACTTTAAAAACGATATAAAACAACTTTAAAAAATTAAGAAAAAACAACCAAGTCTGAAAAAAGCAAAGTCAAATCATACGTCAATGAAGAGTTATTTATTCGTAAAATGTCACTTGAAACATCAAGTATCTTGTCCAACAGGAGCAAGAGCACATCTGACAGCTGTTCCAAATAGAAATAATTTTTTCAATAGTTTTTTTTGTTTTTCTTCGTTCACTGTTTCTATGATTATTTTATTTTTAAATCGTTTGTTTTTCTTAAATGTTTATTTATTTCCTATTTGAATATGATGTTTGCATCAAAAATGTTTTGAAATGAGTGGCATGTGGCATGGAGCATGCAAAAACTATGGGACGTACGTCAAAGAACTTAACACAAAATGATGTCAGCACGACATCTTACGTCAGCAATTTTAAGGAGATAAACAGTTGTGTGTGACTTTTTTCATGATTTCAATAAAATAATTTGCAATTGTAATTAAAAATATTTTTTTGTAGACTCGTTTGAAAACATTCTTCGCATTTTGTTCGCAAATTTTGATTATGGGTTAAATAACTAAAGCGAATTGGACAAGACTAATATGATTATACTGAAATGAAACAAATATTACAATCTTTTTTATTATTTCAATAATAAAAAATTACCAATAGATTATTTTCCAAAAATATTCAATCATGCTATAATTATGTGAATTAAATTTGCCAGCAAACGTTAAACAAACATATAAACGCAGAAGCAATCAGACAGACAGACAGACAGACAGACAGACAGACAGACAGACGGATAGACAGACAGGCAGGACACACAAACATACAAACAAACACAAACGAACAAAGATACTAACGAAGAGATAAATGAATAAATAAATGAGAGTCAAAGTACGTAAGTTAAGTTAACTGCTTAGAAAACCACCTGCCGATTGGAGTAAGCAAATTCCAGGGTTTCCCGCAAAACTGTTATGACGTTGTAGATAATGACGTCATCACTGAAGTCACGTGAAGTTAGTGGCTTTAAAAATTGCTGCGCTTCTGTAGCGCTGTTAAATTTCTGAATTGGTTTTAAGTGATGAGCATTATTTTGTTGCTTTGCTGTTAAAAACAAAAATTTATTGAATTTTTATAAAAAATACTCCAAAAAACTTGTTTACACTAATTTGTCATAATAAAATTAGTTTTTTAATTTTTTGCCATTCATTTATTAGGGTTCCGGAGTTTAAATTCAATTAATTTTTAAAGCTTTTACAAAACGTCCACTTCTTTTATTTATTTTTTGTTGAAGACCGGCTTTTTAAAATAAAAACGCTCAGTGATGATGATAAATGAGTGGAAAAATAAATTAATGGATTGATTGAGCGATGGATGAAGATAGATGACTGATAAGATGGTACGTACAACAACTTTGTGTACAACATGTATTCACACGAGAATGGTATCACATTTTATGTATGTATTAATACACACGCACACAGACGCACATAGTAACAATGAATATAATGCTGACATGCAATTTCTGCTAATATGAAAAACTGTGTTATGGATGATTAATATAGTAAGTTAGTGAGTGATAAAAAACCATTTAATGGATGCATGGATGAATAGATGAATAAATGAATGAATGACATGAAAACAGGATCGATGAACAAAAGTAGTAGAGTGAATTAGAAAACAAATAATTGGATGAATGTCATAGAGTAGGTGTGTGCAAACTTTTTGATGTGAGGACCGCATTGAAAACTATTTGGCATTTGAAGGGCCACGTCTGTATTCAAATTGAAAATTTCTTGATTTCTTGGACCTATTTTTGTCTCGTAATATGTGACTGGCGACCTTTTATTATGGTCGTAATGTGATCTCTTTTTTGGTCGAAAATGGCCCAGCGGGCTGCAAGCGATCCGCTCTTGTAGTTTACCCACCTCAGTCATAATGTGTTAATTGAATGGAAGTTAACATTAGTAAAAGTACCTCAGTTGGTTTTCAAAATCAAATATTTCAACGTGTTTATATATGTAGTTAATTAAATATTAAATTAAGTTGACTATTAAATTTATTTTGCAAGAAAGCAGTTCCAATGTATTAATTGTAATAATAATATAACATAAAATATAATATTTGATATACTTATTGACTCCAAACTGATTTTCAACAATCACGTTTTTCAGACGGCTAGAAAAGCAGACAGAATGGTTGATTTTCTGAAAAGTTATCTCAAAAATGCACCTACAGCAGCTTTTTCGCTTTTTATAAATCAATTATGGGTCAATTCTGGAGTTTGGTGTGTTTGTATGGTGCCCATTTAAAAAAAACAAAATTCAACAATTAGAAAGGGCTCAGAAATGAGCATCCAGAATCCCACTTCAATGCAGAGGATTAACATACGAGGATAGGTTAATGATTCTAGGGTGGCCTTCGCTGGTTTACTAATGCAGAAGAGGAGACATTATATCAACTTATCAATTGCTTAATGGACTGCTGGATGTCGATATCAAACCAGACTACGCACCTACAACGGCGACAAGAGGAAATTGAATGAAGTTGATCAAGTGGACTTGCAGATAAGATGTCAGAAAATACTCCTTCACCAACAGTATTACTGAAATGGCCTACCTGAAAATGTGGTCAAATCAGCTAACGTTACTAGCTTCAAGATAGCCTTAAATAAACTTTGGCAGAGTGAATTCAGTATATGAAAGTAAAGATGTCAAACTGAAGGATGTAAAATTAAACTGAACGTTTTCAAACAAACATTTTAATTATTGTATTATTTATTCTTAAAAACTGTTTACATTATGGTGGCAGGTGGCTTTGCTTGTGTTGCAAATTTATTCCATTTTATGAAATACACATTTCATTTATTATCAGGTCAATGAGCAACGTTTGAATAAAATCATAAATCACATTCAGATTGATCACGTAGGAATGGTGTCTTGCCACAAACATTAGCACAGACAAACAGAAACTTCATCAAACGCATTCAAACAAATTTGCAGACTGTAAATATTCCTCCCATCGACTAATGTTTTGTTTGAATGTGATCACATTCATTTGTTTCTATTGCTTTTTCTTCTTCTTTCTCTTTTTATTCATTACAAACACGGCTTTGTCAGATATTGGATTTATAGCAAGCAAAGAGTCATGCCCGTGAATAAACATCAACGTCCAACTTCTGAATGCATCACATACGTGGTCTTCCAAAAAATATTACGCCATTGGGACATGTTAAAGGTTGAAATTCGTATTCAAAATAACATGAATATATTTTATTCAGCGTTAACTTTTAAACAGTATTTGACATTTTTTTTTCAATTTAGCTAAAAAATGTAAGTGTCGGTTCATGAATGTTCTAAATATGATTATAATGTATTATATTCATCGCGTTATATTCCGCTAAATAACACAAAAAGCCCATGGAAGAGAAAACCATAGTAAGAGATATTTGATATTAAAATGATGGGTTGGTTGGTTGGTTGGTGATTTTTTCGTAGGTGCTTCGCGTAGATCTTCGGAGGAATTATTTGCTGTCGGTTTCTCATTGGAGTTGATACTAATGGCGTTGATGTTGGGTTGTTGGAGCATCAGTGCTAAGTAAATGAAAGAGGCTTGCACTTATTGACCATGACATATTGTCTTCACTTGGTACTTCTTGTCCTTTAATGTTTTTCCTATTATTCAGTTTCTTTCAATGTTTCTAAGTACATGTGGTTTGTGTGTTTGTGTGTTGGTTTGTGTACTTTGATGTCACGATATCAGCATGAGGATAGTAATTTTTTAAACCTAGTGTTTGCACATTTATAACTAATTATAGGTGCCTTCATTGAAAACAACATTTTCAAACCAAAATCGATGCAACGGTTCTAGCAACGTTAAAGAAATTCTGTTGTTAGCAGGAATACAGGAAAATAACTTTACTGTATATAAAATAGCTGATAAGCCGCAAAAATGTACTGTTGTTAATCAAACTAACCTCATCGCTGGAACACCTCCTTTTTATTGTTAGCTCAATTATCAAAGAATAACGACAGCACTTTCAATAAAACGTCATTTTTTTCAATTAGTTGCTTTTCAAACATAAAACGAACTGTTAGAACGTTCGAGAACGAAGATTTTTTTAAATGAAACATGCGGTACATTCAATGTTAAAAAATGAACAAAAATCTTTTTTGGTTTGTTTTTAAAAATATTTCAAATTACGTGATGATGACTTTTTATTTTTTTGCCAAAATTAGATGAAAACAAAATAATTGTTATTAACGAACGGGTCGGGTTTTTCGGTATAACTGTTCGCATCTGAGCTATAGGCCATTTCAATGAAATAGATTATGGTTAAGTTTTGAATTTAAATCAGAACAAATTATGATTGATAGGAAATGTGAAATATTGACAATCAAACAAAAGAAGAAGACGTAGATTTTTGAAAAATCGTCTTCATTCGCATTTTTCTTTATTTAAAAAATTAGAAAAGTATAACTAATAAGACTCACAGTTGTGCAGTTGTCAACGTTCGCTTCCATCCACAATGCTGTGGTCAGATTGAAGTAGCTGCATCTTCTTGTGGCGACATGACCGGGCAGTCTGAAGCAGTCGAGTGTGGCTACTGAGTTGACCTCTGTGACTGGCCATTTGAAATAACCCTTCGATGTCAGCGTGATGTTCTCTGCGCATGGCGCTGCAAGTGCAAATGTGTTTTTGTTTTTCGCCGCTGATTACTTTTTTAAAGATTACCACTACAAAATTTGTTAATAAATTTGTTAATACTTGCTTTTAAAAGACTTTGGTTACATAATCAAAAAATCTAACTAAGAAAAATGAAAAACATTGATTAAAACACGGAAACATTATGTTCAAGCCATGAGATTGTGTGTTATGAAAACTAATAGATATGTACGCTTTGCGGTTCATTAAAGTACAACTTTCAATATTAATTTTCTGAGTATGAAAATAAAAACGTATGAACAATCTGATAATGTTTTTACATTATAAAAACGCTTCAGATTTTTAGAACAGTAAAATTAACCACAAATCAGTTAATAATGACCACGAATGTAATTAATCATTAGAATTTATGTTTTTTTTTTCTGATATTATTTTTATTAATATGTTTTTCAAAACGGCTCTTGTTTGTTTATAAAGTTTAGCTAAATGAAACTCTGTTTCCCAACATTTTTTAAATGAACATGTTTTCAACTTCAAAATCGATTTCACAATTTTTTTAAATGAGCATGTTTCCAACTTTAAACTTATAGGCATTTTACAAATGCTCCGTAGAAGTTTGGTAACTCAAATTTTATTTTGACTTATCGATACAAATTTAAATACTCTTGTCCTTTACTCTGTAGTTGAAGAATTCAATTACAGATCTCAAAACTTTTACTGTTTCCATTGCAAACAATGGTCGCCTGGCTGATTTTGTTTGGTGTTTAAACAAATCTATTTATAAGTTTTGTACAGTTGAAATTCAGACAACATCGTCGGCAAATAAATGAGTTATTGAACTTGATAGAGATTTTTACGAGCAATCAGAATGTTTTTTTTTTACATTCACACACGTGAAGACATAAAGGTAAGGAATGATTTCACGCAAAACAAAAAAAGTGAAGTAAAAATTGTGACCATACATGTCGTAGCGGAAGCTGAGCATGGAACTTGACCGAAGGCATCGTAGCACAAACCATCGCTTGATTCGCACTGATTCTCCTGGCAGTCCTCGAAAAATATCTCACAATGTTTGCCTGGTGAGATGGTGATGAATAAGAGGGGGCTAGTGAGATGGTGATGAATGAAGAGCAGTCTTGTAAGTGTATGACGATGATTAAAATACAAGTATTTATAACGATAATAACACTATCAATAACTGTTGTTTTTACACAGCAATTAAAAAAAGTTTGAAGCTAGTATTGAAATAGAAAGTTAAGGATCTATAAATTATTAGTTGGATTACACATACAAATGCTTAATTTTTTAAATATATTTTGATTTTTTTTTAAAATGAATCTAAATTTAAAATATCATGTTTTTCAAAGAAGACAAATTTGGAATCGAGAAAATTTTAGGAACTACTAGATGAAAGACTGAAAAAGAATTTCAAATTTCTAAATTCTGAATTTTGACATAAAACCTTTTTTTTGTTTACGCATTGCAAGGATGAAAGGAGTATGAAACTTATTAAAATTTCAGAACGTGTCGATTACTACAGAGTTCATTTTTCGGGGTAAGAGGAGAGATAACAAAGTGAGTGTTTTTATAAGAATATCGTTTTGAAGATTATTACAATTAAAATTATTAATAATTTCAATGATTAGCATAACGGTAAAGTGTCCGACAGTGCATTGCAGGGACCGGGTTTGACTGCACAGAGATCTAGCCTATCACACTCAATGTGTGTGACGCGTTTTTATATACATATACATATATATATATCTATGGTTATCTATGGTTGTTTCATGTGTATTTAAATGCACTGCGTGTTTCTTGTTGATGCCTTTGAAAAATATTGATGAGTGAGTTGTTATGAACAAATAGGTAAATTGTTATCATCATCATTATTTTCATTGTTAATTATGTTAAAATGTTGCAAAAATAAAAATTAGATTTGGGAAAATATGCAAAGAAATGAGATTTGTTGAAATGTTTCGAAAGAACAATACCAGAAAGTGAGCGTCCGAACAGTGAACCACGTAGTTCTGGATGGCAAAAAGTGGAAGCCATTTATTTTTTTGAATCAGAAAAATAATTCAATAAAATAAGAATGGATAGCTGGAAGTAAAGTAAGTTAAATAAAAATGCATCGACCAAAAGCCAGAGCGCATGCATAGATCAATGAAAAATGGCTAGCCTGAGATAAATTGAAAGGAAAACGTGATGTGCCGGTGCAACTACATACAACTGCCAAACCAGCATTGCAGCAATACCGAATGAATGTTAATGCAAATGCAACATTTTTTATTTCCAACCTATATATATATATATATATATATATATATATTTCATTAAACGCGATGCTTATATTATTGTTATTTAATTTTTTATTAAGATTTTCTATTTTTCTTATTAGTTTTTTATAATTATAATTTAAATTAAAAATAAGAACACCAATATTCATTATATAATTATTTATTAAGCGACGTTTCGAATTTTATAATTCATCTTCAGGCAATTTAATATTAATTCAAATAAAACATAACAATAAACTGTCAGATGACGTAATAAGAGTTGAGCGCGAAAGTAACGTAAAGATTAAAGTTAAATAACGTAAGTAGTTAAATTAAGTATAATAAACAATTATTTTGTAATATAACATAATAAAATATATTATATGTGCAATATTATGTTAATAATAATAATAATAAATTAAACATTTCGTGATGAAGGTAAAATAAAATTGGAATAAATTTGTTTTTTCAAATTAGGTTTATAAATATTAATAAATAGGGATTCTAAAATTTGTAGTCTGTTAAAATTAGTGTCTTTCATTAATATTTTAGTATTATCTTCTAATATTTTGCGGGATAATTGCTGGTTGTGGCAGTCATATATACTTATATATGACTGCCACAATATACATATACTCATATATACAGTCATTATATTTACTGATATATATATATATATATATATATATATATATATATATATATATATATATATATATATATATATACTTTTATTCGTATGCTTCCTACGATGATTATGCGCTAAATGTATAAGAGTTGATAGGAATTGATTGACAAACAAATGATTATGAAAGTAATTTGAATTATTATTTGAGGGATGAACATGAATGACATTACAGATATCTGGCTCTTGCAAAAATTTTCGCATGAAGTGTTTATAAAAACGCATCTAAAACTGTTGTACCGCAGATTGCATACAAAACAACAACAAAGAGACATCTTTGAAAGAATATCAACATTAATGTAACAACAACAACCACCACCACAACAACAACAGCAACTACTACAACAAAAACAACAACATGAATTTTAGCATGAACATTATAGCCAAATAAAATAAACGACATAATTTATTTCAAAACATCCATAAAAACAAGGAATCTAAAAAATTGTAACTATTAAAAAAATTATTTTTTCAAAATAAAAGTTACAAAAGGAGTTAAAACAATGAAATAACAAACAGTAGAGCCAGTGAAGATCGCCAATATGAAAATCGTGTCTCGTAAACCAAGAAAAAACAAAACGTTTCGTTACAGCACTTATTTTTCAAGCGGAAACCTTGAAGAATCTATTTAATCAAGGTTGTTATTAATACTATCCAAAAAAATTGAAAAGTTTTATAAAAATGTATGCCAGCAGCAATTATTATTCCATAAACAAGATCTTAAAATTTGATTAATTTCAATATAAAATTTTATTTAAGGCAGTATTGTTGACCAGTATTAAAAAAAAATTTGTATGATTTTGCTGTGTTGTTTTCAAAGTAGATTGATAAATAAATGTATATCGAGATAAATGTAATTTAAAACAGCACAGCCTGTTTTAAATGAAAAAACGTCAAGCGATGCTTCACTCACAACACACCAAGTCCAAATTTCATTGTAAAGCATTTCATGAAATCGCATCACGATCTCATCACATCACGATCCGATAACACCATATTTTATTAAATCACATCACTTCATTACATTAACTTAAATCATGACCAAATGATTTAAGCGATACCAAAAATAACAACTCATCTTATAGTTTTGAATCTATCGCAACCACGCAATATCAGATGACATTAACTACATCACATTACATCAGATGACATCAATTGCATCGCGTAACATTAGATGACAGCACAACTGACCACCGAACATGTTTCGTAACATCCAATCACATTGAGAGTTCGCTGCCATCACGACCATCGTTAAGCCAAGTCATTTGCATTGACCTCAAAAACATGCGTGGCATCAATCAATGAACCAAGTATAAATAATAATAACAAAACATGACACAAAGTAACCACCAATAGGAACAAATAAGACCATGACGTAATATCAAACGAGCAACAAATGAATAATTGCATTTGGCGTGGAAATTGGGACTCTGGACAAAAAATAGCGACGATAAATCTTTTAGAATTCCGCCCATGTTTTATTTTACTGCAACTGGTTAACCTAAATTTCATAAATTTAATTATTTTCAATGTTTGAAGGTTTTTTTTAAAAAATGGTATTGAAGATGACGAAGGCATCTTCAATTTGAAATATCTGTAAAATTAACAATTGTGAAATGATATATATTATCATCAGGTACCTAAAATACTTTGCTGTGGAATTAAGCTTAAACCACGATGTACAAACTTATTGAAAACAACAGTAAAAAAAAGTATTAATAATATTAACAATAATTATAATGATAATAAGTTAAAATTATAATCATAATTTAAATGTTATTACTATGCAGTGGCGGATCTAAACAACTTTGACGATGTGAGGGCCATCAGGTGAATGTTTGGTCCATTTTGGACATAAAACGATACTTTTTGTGTTGTGTTAAAACAGTGGGTTTTACTGACTTTTATTAATACAAGTTAAGCTCATACTGTAGCACTCCCTTCGATTCACCACTGTTACTATGTGATTGTAATGTCATCTTCATTTTTATAAAAAACCAAAAAAAAATTAATTTTCTAACCACCATATCCAGCCATGCAGTAGCAGACGTCCATATGTCCATCATCACCATTACTATTTCGGAAATCTCCAATTGCACTACCAGCGTCTTTCAAACTACTACTAATTCTACCACTAGGATTAATATTGTTGGTGCTGCTACTACTCTCACTGCTACTGCTGCTGCGGTTAACATGAACGCAAGTTCCACCATTGTGGCATAAAAAGTTGGATGTGGAGCAAGGCTGGAAGTGTTCGCAGTGCTGTCCGTGGAAGCCGACGTGACAGATGCATAGGTAGGAAAATGTCGATTTGTCCTTTATCTGATAATGTGGTGTGGTGTGGTTGTTCAGTAAAATTTTAAATTTCATTTCAAAAGGATTATTGATTTAATAACAATGTAAAAAGTTTCAAAGTTGCAGTTAAATTAACTTACCATTATATTAGCCATTAAATAAAAAAAAAAAACATGTGATATGTGGAACGCCTCATATAATATGTAGGCCTAACTTCATTTAAAAATCCATCGTACAAAACATCGACCGCTATTATTTCTGCGCAAATTGAAATGTCCATAATGGTCAGTTCAAAAAATGAAATAGGCGATGAAATAGCGAAGCCTCTTGTGAAAAGCAGGCCTCATAATATTTATGATGATTGTGATGATGGCGATGCGAGATGATGAAAATGATCATGGTGGTAGTGATGATGATTTGTGGGAAGAAGAAGATTATGGTGACTTGTGGTGATGATATTCATTATAGCATCAATATATTGCTAACTTGAATATGGAAACATCAGTTAGAAAATCAAATAAGAACACGCGCGGAAGAAAACAACAATATGATCCCTCATAAATTCCTCTCATTCGAGTATGTAGTTTTATATTTCTGCACCCAACCGCCTGCCGTCATAACGTTTATTCAAGACACATCTCACGGACAAGTGTCTGCCTTACCTGTGTTGCTTGTCTATCGAGAAACACGGTTCTTCAAACATGAATGTACGTACAACAACGCTTGAATTTGCTTCTACGTTTATGGGTTTTAAAAGATAACTTTGTGTGGGACAGGACTGTAGGCACATGCGTTTGAGTGTCGTTATAAACATGTATGTATCGTGTATCCATTCATGGTCGAAATGTTTGTGAACGTGCTTCGCTAATGAATATTTTACAAGGTGATAAAATGTGGTGATTGTGCATTAGAAATGCAAAAATAGAGAGGGCGCGTGAAAATAAAAAACGAAATAATTACGAATTAATGCGATGTTTGTAATGTTTTGTAGTAAAAAACACGAAAAAAATCGTTAATATGTTTCTTGAACTGCAAGTTTTTCATAAATTGTTTTTGTAAATGAATAAATAATAACCAAACAAATCAAAAAGTAATTAAGAAAAATTTTTAGCTAAAAATAATTATTTACGCCAACGTAAATTTATGAAAATACAGCACACAGATATACACACAAACAAACAAACACACTAGCACACACTCAAGGAAGGCCCAACTGACATACATGATCCTTCGCGCTCGAACACACATAAATACACACAAATACACATACAAACAATAACGCACACGTACACAAACATACGGACCTTAACATATATTAATTATTCTATTTTAATTATTTATTGTATTTGATATATTTTAATTGTTAAAGTTATAGAACTTTTGTATGAAGCATACGATCTCACGTGATGATGATGAAGAGCTCTTTAAAACAGAATTAAACTATAGCAAAACCAACCTTGTTCACGGAGACACTGAGACAACCACGTTTAAACAAAATAATACCAGGCATAACGCTATGCAAATCACAAATACGCACACACGCGCGCGTACACACACATACATACACACACATACATACATACGCACCACACAAACACATACTCATACACACGTGTGTAGAAACTATACACAACTGGCGTATGTACGTATGTCTGCTCGTATATAATCCTTGAGAATTTGTATTTATGCATTTCCAATATTATTTACGCAACTTATTTATTTATATGACCTATCTTTATCTTAGGATAACGCAAAAAACAATCGTTCATATTTCTGCAAGAATTTACTCCTGGGGCTATTTGCGTGTGCATCTGTTTTCATGTTGTCCTTCAAGTTTGCACGGTTGTGAGGTTGCGAGACTGTTGCGTGTCTCTATGTTCTACTTCGAGTTTGTACGGTTGTGAGGTTGCGAGACTGTTGCGTGTCTCTATGTTCTACTTCAAGTTTGCATGGATGTGAGATTGCGAGACTGTTGCGTGTCTCTATGTTCTACTTCAAGTTTGTATGGTTGTGAGGTTGCGAGACTGTTGAGTGTCTTTATGTTCTCCTTCGAGTTTGTATGGCTGCGAAGTTTGGAGACTATATGTTCTTGTTTGTAAATACAGTAGCGGCTGCAAGGATGGACACACACAAACACACACAAACACACACAAACACATGCTCAAAACACTCATACACACAAGAACCTCCACACATTCACGCAAACACACACAAATACACTCGCACAAACATACACTCATATATCCATAGAAGCACTCACACAATCATACACACAAATACATAAACAAAAATATACCAAATTTGTGTAACATTTGCTTTTGTACTTATTCTTCATGATTTGAACGAAATCATAGACGGAAATGCAATTTGATACCCATGTTTGCTCTGGTTATTTTTACAAAAATCTCAATTTTCAACTACCGCGTGTTAGATTGTGTTCTTCAGTTTGTGAGTGACTCTCAATGATGGCCATGTTTAAAGGCAACATACGTTCCAATATATCTCTAATTTAATAATATTCAACCTAATTCATACATTTTAAAGTGAATAGTGACGGGTAGACTTGCCCTATTCAATTAAATGTGTTAAAAACTTTTGATAATATCAAATTTGAGCTGGTTGAACATAAAAATTGATAAGAGACATTATTATATCTCAGCCAAAGTTATGAACTTAATTGAAAAATAATTTTGTTTATGCTAGATGTTTAACGGTTTGACAAAAATTCGTATGTTGATGCTGAAAATCAGAGTAATGTTTTCAACAGTGATTAAAGCAACATGCAAATAACCTATTCCACAAGATACTTCAAATTTGCGTCCTCTGAAGTTTGTTTAAAAATTTAAAATAAAAAATTTCAAATCAGCTGGGGTTTTATAACAAATGTGTTGTGGAGTAGCAATGTTGTACAACTATAAAGACACTTACCATTAGCAAAACATCAGCCAACGAAACAAACAACAATACAACCAACAATACAACCAACAATACCACCAGCAATACAACCAGCAATCAGCAATACAACAAATTGCACAATTATCGGTAACAACAATTTGATCGAAAGAGAGCAACAATCGGTCGCCAGTTCAGCTTACAATGGACTTATGAAAAGTGCCTTTGCTTCGATGCCGTCGTAAATATGTCGTTAAACCATCTATAACTCTCCCGTGACCGTTGCACAACCATTACGACGATGACGACAGCCAGGCAGACGACGACGACAACGACGATGATGATGGTGGAAGTTAATGTATGTGAGGGTATGGAAGATGTTGAAGAGGAACACATGTGCATACTTCCACTCATTCAAAACGTTTCCATTGTTTATTACTTGAGCGGGAGTGTTCGAGTTTTTGCGGTTTTTGCTCGATTACCATCATTACGAGACCCAATTATATTTGGTGTAATTTTTTGTTTCAATGCCAGGTTTCATTTAAAATAATATTGGCTATTTTGGTTTTTTATTTATTTTAATTAAAAATTAGACTGGGGTTTCAAATTTAATGAATAGTTATTATCATTATAAAGTGTGGAAATTTAATTTGGTATTTCAACAATCAACCTCTGATAAGTTAACAGATTTAAAATTTTATTAATCTTAGCTGACTTACATTCAACAAGCACAACTGATAGTTTTGGAACATTAGTGTAATGGAAATAATTTGTTTGTAATTTTTGTTTCACTCAAATGTTAAATATTCTTCTTGGTCTTATCAACGATGTATTATCGTGGTTATTGCAGTTACACTTTAATCACCCTCATGGTCATTTCTAAATTGAAATCTGGGCCATCACGATACGAAAAAAGTTGAAAATGAAATTATTTAAAATATAAATTTTGAAGTATTAAACTTTCTTCAAAACAGTTTCTAAACTCTAGCCTAACTAACACAGTTTTATAAAGATAAATTAAAATGTTAGCAGCAAAGTTAACGTAATAATATGGTGAATGTAACATTTAACAAATTTCAACCAAGAGCTTTCATTGGAAATTTTGACGCAATGATGCATTCCAGCAAACCATCACGTTATAATCACCATTATCATTAACTCACCCAACCATCACCACCAACATTATCATCAAAAGAAATGTTTTTACGTCTCTAGAATCGCTCCGCATTAAACATCAAATGAAATCTCGTTACAGCATTATCACGACCATAAACAACCTTCTCCACATCATCATCATTATATCATTATCCTCCTCATCATCATTATATCAATATCATTTTCTACCTACATGTATCATGTGATCATCATCACCATAATGGCAATTGCCATCAGCATTGTCATATACAATAATATCATAATCGCCGTTACCATTATTGCCACCACCATCGCCATCATCATCTCCATCTTCATCATCATCTTCAACATCCTCATCATCATCTTCATCCTCATACTCATCATCTAAATTGTTTCACAACCAGTCAATTGAAGGAAGAAGCAACATCACTCGTCCCCTCTCTCTCCTACATTTCTTGTTCGATCAAATTTTACTGAGTAAAAAAACTGCGAATGAAATTTGAGGAGAGAGGATCAGTTGGATGCTTGAGACGCATCAAAATTCAATAAGAAGGAGATTAATAGATTAGTGTCTATGATGTCAGCGTCATCATCACGTGATGCATGTTTATTTCTGCACGCTTGTGTGCGTGCGTGTCTGTCTGTCTGTTCGTCTGAGTGCGTGTGGGTACAGTGATGTTAGTTTTTTTCTGCAAAGTTTTAATCAATTTTGTCACAAATGTTTAATTGCAATTTTTGTTTAGTCATTTATTAACACAATTTGGGTCATTGCATGCTTTTAATTTGGATGAATTTAATACGTCCTTACAATTGGTTTTCTACATCAATGTAATTGTCCTGCTTGTATGTTAGCTTGAATAACGGACCGGAGCAAAACAGAGCTGGCTGCAACACCAGTCATCATTTCCAACGATCAATTAATTCAACAGCTGGCTAATATACGTTCAGAATTTTTTGAAGATACGAAACATATCCAGGCAACAAAACGCATCTAATTTTTCATTGAAAGAGACATGTTGTGTCATCTTATTTGAAATTTTTATTTTCTTCCATGTTCAAAATTTCAACGGGTAATTAAATATTTTACCAATGTATCAAATAAAGTGATTTTTACAGAATTATCAACACAATTTCACTCAAGTCCTTTTCTTACCAGAGCACAAAATTGTATATTGATATGCAATGTATTACACGAAGGAGAAATATTGTAATGATAGCCCTAAGAACAGAACTTAACAACCAACTCACGAAAATTGTTTTTTATTACCGAACCTACAATGCACAATGATAATACCATCTACTTAATAACTATCACACAGTACCACTACGCAATACCACATACATTTTTCGTATCCCTCCGTCCATCAATCATTGAACGTTTAACAATTTTCAGTCATCCGTTTCTCAAATTGAAATGTTTTCAATATTTCTAGCAGAAAATTTAAAAAGCGATTATGCATGAGAAGAACTATTGCAAGACTGTACCTTTGATGTGTACTTTCACAAAATAACAATTTATTTAATTCATCAAAATTTTTATGAATAAAGATACGCTGATATGGAAGTAATTTTTAAATTACATTGCCAGGAATTACATGACGTACTTTACATGATGTAAATCAGAATGAAATTTTATCCAGCTTTATATAATTGTTTAACCTATAAAATGATTGAATGCATTTTAAATGTAAACATTAGCAGAGCAGAACGATCGTAAGGTAACACAGAGCAACAGCAACCTACCTGACAGACTCCCTTCTGGTTGCATGTATCTGGCAGTAGGCATGGGTTGAAATCTTCACATTTTGCACCGGAATAGCCTGGTGGTTCGCATATTGTACTTTAAGTTAAACTACATTTCTAGAGTTATTTCTCCGATTATAATGGAATGAAAATAATTTTGTGGGTTAATTGACATTATATGACCATCATCTAGTTGGGTTCAACTTCGTCTTTAAATGCTGATATTGATGGTGGTAGATGTTGCTAATTGGGATGGTTGGGTCTGCTATAGTTGCTGGTAAAACAGCCAGTCGGTTGAACTTCAGATAGCTTTCATATTTTAGTTGGGCTACAATTGTAGTTTATTTTGATAGAATTGTGTATGGTTCAGTGATATATCTTCCAAAATTTGCATTGCATATTGCATTGAAATTAAAACGTTCATGGTTTTTAGAGTGCAAATTGCTAATGGAAGAAACTCAACAATGTCCGTCGCAACTGTCTAGAAACTGCTGATGACCAAGCTACATGTGGTCACACTAACTCTACCGCTCAAAAAAAACTAAACTTTTTAAGAAATTATTAAGAAGTAAACAATAAGAGCAATAACATCAACAACATAATCGATAACAAGAATAACAGCCGCGAGGGCAACATCAACAACATCAGCAGCGGCAGCACAAACAGCAACAACAACAACAACATCAAACGACCTTCTGAGCAGTTGCATCTGAAGATGTTGTCATCCAGCACGACACATTCGCCGTCGTTGTAGCATTTCTTGTCCTTACCATTGCAGGGCAACTCCTCTTCGCAAAACACTCCCTGATAACTTTCAGAGCATTTACATACGAATTGCGGTTGTTGCAGTTGTTGTGATTGATGGTAGTAATGATGGCGCTGCGGATGATGATGATTAGGAAAGATGTCGTCGCTACTTCTATGCAGCTCGTTTCCACTGTTAATTAAAGCATTGTTTCGACTGCTTGTATAATCTACTTTTTCATTGTACATATTCTTTTTAATGTTTTTGTTGTTGTTGATACTTTTGATGTTGTTATAGATGTAGTTGTATGTTTTGTTGATGATTTTATTCTGATAAACGTTGGCATCAATGTTTTTAGTTGTATTAGTTTTGTTAACCCCATCATCATCCTTGAACCATTTTTCGCTTTTTGCATTCAACCAGTGAGCTTTCATTTGAGATTTCCCACTATTTGATGTTTTCGATGCCTGTTTTGCTGAAATGTTTGTCGTTAGCAGAGTTCCTGCTGCTGCTGATGTTGTTGTTGATGTTGTTGTGGTTGATGTGGAATTTGTTTCCATTGGCACACACAAGCCGTTATTATAACACGGTCGATGCAAACAAGATGGTCTATCTAAGCGCCTCCTCCTCATCACGGGCCTTTCACATTGATGGCCAGTAAACCCGTGTATGCAAATGCATCGATATTTTTGAGGTTTGTGGCTGTCAGGCTTGTAGTCGAGGTTGTTGTTGTCGTCGTCGTCATCGTTGTTGATGTTGTTATTGGCGTTGTTTTGCTGAATAACTTTGTGCGTTTTAGAAATTTGATGGTGAATTTGGTTATTAGTTTTGGGTTTAATGTTGTCGTGCTGGTTGAAGTTGTTGTAATGCGTATTAGTGTTTATGTTGTTGTTTATGTTGTTGTCAACTGTGTTGATGTTGCTCACAACGCTATTGATATTCTCAGCAAAACACGTGCCCCCGTTATAACAAACACACGCCGGTTCGTCAGATTGGTATTCATCGAAGTTGTTGATGTTTTTCGTGTCATTAATGATGCTGTTGTCCTTGTGGTTGTTGTTGGTGTTGTTGCTACTGCTGTTTTTGATGTCGTTGTTGTTATCCTGGGTGCTTAAGCTTCTCTTCATGTTGTTGTCAACGTTGACCGGACTTTTGTTTAAATTTTCGTAAACGTATTCAATCTCATTTGTATACTTAATGATGTCTCTGTCTTTGATGTTCCTATTGTAAACGCACTCCAAATAATTGTTCTTGCTATTGTTCGAAAGATTTCGCCTCTCCAAAAAAGTTTTATTAGGTCCGAAATAATTTTTTGTCTCATCGGTTATCAAAAAGTAGCTAGTGTTTTTATAATCATTCATATTCGTTACATTTCTATGTCTATTTTTAATTATTTTAAATCTGTTGGCCACTTTTGGGCTGTTTTTTGTGTCATTATTATCATTGATACTATCATTGCTGTTAGTATTTGTATTGTTAGTGATGTTGTTATTATTTTCACCATTTTTTTTGAATGCATACGCTCGGTCTGAATCGTTTGATCGATTCGCGTGCAGATAATTATAAATTGCTTTTAAAACCTCAAAATTAAGATTATATTTTTCACCGGAGTTGTCATTTATATTTTTTTTACTGTCGCTGTTATTATTACTGTTATTATTATTATTATTATTATTATTATTATTACTATCATCCTCATCTTCATCACCACGGTCATTATCATAGTTAACTTTGGTTACGCTGGAATTACTGTCTTCACCGTCGATAACAATATATTTACTCTCAGCCACATGACAATCATGATTGTTTTGTGTGTTGTTGTTGTCGATGATACAGGTTATTTCGACAATTAAGTTCTTCTTTAGAGCACAAAAGTACTTGCTTTGCTTTTCACTAATGCATTCAGCTTGACGACATATGATTTTACTGGCAATACTACTACTACTACTACTACTGCTACTACTACTACTACTACTACTACTACTACTACTACTATTACTTATGCTACTATTACTACTAACACTTCTACTACTACGGCTGCTAATTTTTCTACTAACCCGACCGCCTCTTCTGTTGTTAGAATCGTAACCACTATAACTCTTACCATTGTTAACATTAGTACTTATATTACTGCTGCCATTACTAATAAGAGTATTTATGAAATTACTATTAAAAAAGTAACAACTGATTTTTTGACATTTACGCTCCCTGTTGTTGGTGTATGAATGTGCGTGATCATTGTCGCCCTGCTGATAATTGTTTCTGCAACATTTCTTAATATTGTCATCGTTAACGAAGTTTAAGAGAAATTTTCTTTCAATGCTGCCGATCTGAAAGTTCATCGCATTGTGGCTCTGAGACTGGCTTCCATTACTTTCTTTGTCGCCTAAATTTATTGCGTGGTTTATTTTTCTGACGTCAGTGAGTTGGTTTGGGTTTCTTGAAATGTTTTCGTTTTTCTTGTTCATCTTGATGGCAAAGTTTTTGTTGTTGGTGTCTTTGTTGATGTTGCCGATGTTGTTGTTGTTGTCGAGGTTGTTGTTTATATTTGTTAGTTGCTTATAATATAAGTTTACAAAGTTCTTCTCTTCGTTTACTCTTCGATTAGCAACATTTACTCGGATTTGGTGGTTTTTATTATTGTAAGAACCGATTTTATTTCCATCATGTTTACTTTCTTTTTTATTGTACATCTCGAATATATTTTTGTTTCTTCTGCTTCTTCCTCTGCTTGCACTGGTCCCGACGATGTCGTTCTTGTTTCTGCCGCCGATGATGATGATGATGTCTTCTTCGCTTGAATTCAACTTGTTGTGGTTTTTTATTGTGTTTGCGCTGTTTTTATTGTTCACGTAATTCGTGCTGTTTATGATGTTTACGTTCGAATAACTGTTGATGCTGTTTATGTTGTAGTTAATGTTTTCAGCAATGTTATTGTTGTTGATGTTGTTAATGTTTTCAGCATTGTTGGTGCCTTGGACGCTCTTAAGAGGTTTCCTTTTGTGTTTTGTGATATTAAAAAAGTTGTCCATTTTACTGCTGAGCCTCATGTTGTTAACATTTTTCTTAACAAAATCATCTTCAATTTTTTGCGTTTTAAAGTTTATTGGGAAAAATGGGTTCATCAAATTTGACATGAAAGCATATTTATCAGCATTATTTTTCATGTTTTTTAAATGAAAATTCGCTCTTTCCAATAGATTATTACTTTCATTATAATCATCATAGAGATTATCAATTGCATTAACATCCCCGTTGCTATCGTTAACAAAGCTACCTGATCTGCCAAAGTTTTCCATATTTATTTTAATGTTGTTGGCATTGTTGTTGTTGTTAGGTCCATTAATATTTTTGGTTGTCATCTTTGTTTTATTGATGCTGTTGGTATTGTTGAATGTCTTCTTGTGTTCAGCGTTATTGTATTTCTTCCTGATTGTGTTGAGGTGATTGTGTGTGTGGATGTGGCTCGCTCGCCTAACAATGCAGTTAATAAGGAATGATTCATTGCAATCAATGACGCTAGGTGGTCGCACATGTGCTGCATGAAGAAACAACAACTCTTTCCCCATCAGCAACAACGCCAACAAAAACATCATCATCGTCACCAGCAGCAACAACAAAAGCAACAACATCCACAATCTAGGTTTCATCATCGTGTTTTTTATATCACAATTCAATAATGCGGCAGTCAATATCTCTGCTGTTTCTTTTTTATACGTTGTTTTTGGTGGTTTCGAAAGTTTGTTTGCTTTTAACTGCAAGTGATTTCGATCAAAAGTATCTGGAAACAATCTCTTAACAGTTTTCATGTGTATTTGACGATAATTATGTTGTTCGAATTGCGTTTTAGTTAATTCTCGTTATATTTTGTTTTTTTTTTAATTAACTTACTTCTGATTTAAAATTGTTAAAAATCGGACCCTCTTAAAACCGATTAAGTTTCCGGAAAGTTTATTAAGTTACTTCATGTACCTGCTGATAAACACATCTATATTTAGAAAGAAGTTTCCATACCTTCACAGAATTGCATAAAATGTTATGCAATTATCTATATAATTTTGTTTTTTGAGTTCACTATTCAAACGTCAGATTTGTGGATCCGCTGATTTTTTTTATAAATAGTCGTCCTAATAAAATATTTCGTTGATTTTTTTCTTCATTTGTGTTGATGTTTTCTGATGTCGAAATGTCCTTTCTCTGTCTCATCACCGATAGATTGTTTCTGTCACTGGCACACCGTAGAATATTTTTAAATTTCTAAAGTTAACAAGTTTTTTTTAAATAACAAGTTTTTTTTTTAATAAAATCACAACTTTACAAAAATTTTAAAAACATCTCCAATTGAAATTCATTGCACGTTCTCATGCATGCCTGTTGTTCTTAAGTTAAAAATTTCACACAGTATTTCTTTGCATGGCATCTTAAAAAGAATAATATTATTATCAACTTTATTTTCAAATTAAATTTTCAATAAAAAAGTTTATATAATAAATAAAATAAAAATAATTCAAGAGTTGAAGCAATAAATACAAAGACTTGAAACTAGGGTAAAAAAGTAGAGAAGCATTGAAAAAGTATGCCGCATCGAGGGAATGTTATAATTTAGTTTTTTAAGTCAATTAAGTAGAGGCACTTGACGACTGCAGCCAGAGTACTTGGTTCTTGCGTTGCTGCACGATGTTCATACTTTTCTTAGTGTTGCGCACAATTTATGTTATTTTTCGATTTTGTAGCTTTTTATGTTTTTTAACAACAATTTTTTTAAATAAATTAATTTGATAACATTTTAAATCAGCAAAACACTCGCAAAAAATATTTAATGATAAACTTTTAAAAGAGTTTTTAAATTTTTTGGTAAAAATCGATCAACTGATAGCATTAATTTGTAAGCTGTAAATTTTCCAACGCTATTATTATTTAAAATAACAGCAATATTTGTTTCAAACTTATTATTAACGGTTTAAAACATCAATATCTGGAGAGTGTGCAAAGGATAATTTTTAAATTTGCAGTGGTGTAATTTCTTTTAATTTTCAAATAAAGAAGTTGGACCTAATCTACAGAGCAGTCAAAGCCGTCGAAGCGAAGCACGAGCGGACAGTTGACGTGGCAGTTCGTCTTTTTTCACTTTATATTTTCTTCACAATTTTTAACTTCAAGTTTTATCTTTTTTGATTGTAGGCTGTTCAGGGTTCATCGTCTTTAACATGTTTTATTATTTTTATGTTTTTGAATTTTTAAAAGTTTCATTAGCTGCTCGATAACTTTACATTTTAAAATTAAAATTTGTTTGTTTATAACCAAAGTTTACAACAGAGTATTCCGAACATAATTTGTGGTTGTGCTGGGTACTTTATCTTAATAAAATTAACTTGATAGCCATTAAAAGCAGCAAGATATAACTAAAGTATGACTAAAATTTTGTTGAAAGCCTAGTTAACTGTATTTAAAATAACGACTAGTTCAATAAATGCAAATTAAAGTCTTTGATAATGTTATTTTACTCACTTGGGTCATCAACAATCAACAGTTTCTCAAAATCAAATCCTGAATTCAACTTAAAAGCAGTAATTTTCAAAGGCATATACTTTAGTTTAATCAATAATTTCTCGAGTTACAAATTATTATTACACTTGCACAAGCCAACCATAATGTCGTCTCATATATACGATTAAGAAAACCTGAGCGCCTTCATGTCTGATGTGTGCATGTTTAAGGTTTGTGCATGTTTAAAATGTGTGCATGTCCGTGAGCTCTGATGTTTCGTCACGTCCACAAATGTGTTGAGAGTGTGCCAGTCATTTTGAACGCTTGAGCAAATTTCAGTGTTAAATACAATCTCATGAAAAAAGGCGGAAGATGAATGGCACTGTCTCTTCTTATATGCTTCATTTGGGATCACAGAGGCTCTCCATATCCCTGCTGTTGCTGTTCCTCCTTCGTGTCTTCGTCGTCCCATTTTAACCACGCTACTGCCAATCACATCAACTGCTGCTTCACATTCAATTTATTCATTATTCAAAACGTGATTACTTTTTAGCGATGTTTTTTTGCTATTCAGAGTCTGTGAAGGTTTTTACGAACATTTTGTTTACTTGAAACAAGCGGAGTAGTTTTTTAAAGTTATTTAATTATTATTAATACAGCTGAAATAATAAATTCTACTTTTTTAAAAACCCATGAAAATATTTTTACCTTGTTATTTTATTCAAAACTAATGCATCACTTTAAATTTTTAAAATTGAATTTCTTTAGATGTGTTAAGATTTTTAGGGCTATTAAAAATACAATCAAACTTTTTATGTTTTTTCAGCAATACCCATTTAAATATTTTTTTTACTAAAACACTTTTTTAACGGTTCTAGAAATTTGTCTAATTTGCAGTTAAAGTACAATTTGTTTCAATTCAATCCATTCGACGTTCCTCTCAAATTTGATTATTGATATTCAAATTTGATTAAAAGGTCTTTTGGGTTCAAAAAAATCTTTGCCTTACTTTCGCGTTTAGTTTTTGTTTTTGGGGTTTTACATTACGTTGAAATATTTTTTTTTTAAATTTTCAATAGTTTTTTTCAATATTAGGAAATTTGTGAACGAAGTAAAAGCATGCAGCCGGAGATGAATGTTTTCAGAGAAACAAATTTGTTTTGAAATCCAAGATTAACGAGCTACAAAGAAATAGAAAATGTTCAGTTGAATAATAAACAATGTCATCAAAAAGATTGGTCAGGTGAAAAAAATTAAACGATCAAGGAAACCTCCTGAAATGATTTTTATTGCCAAATTGAAGTTGTACTTAGAAGTTTAAAATTATCAAAAAAGATGTTTAATTAGTTGAATTCATTTGAAAGTGGTAAAAAGCCCGGTTAATTGGACTACTGGTCGTTTATTGTGTACTTGATAAATCCCATAAAGTAACTCAGCAAGTTTTACTTAGTTCGTTTAATCGGACCATAGAGTAAACAAAAACCCGCTTAATCTAACCGCAAACATGGTGTCCGGGTTAAAAGTTGCAATGTTAGATTTATAATATATATTGATAATTGAATAATATATAAGCACTGTACAAGTTCTACGAAAGGATACAAAATTGTAGACATACATAGACGCAATAGACATAGACAAAGAATAGTAGACATACATCAACATAAGCACATACAAACGCAAATTAATACACACACACACACACGCATATTTATCCATATAATTTAGTTATTGCATAAAGTTTCATTTATTTTGTCTGAACGAAAAATTACAAAATTCGGGAATATTTTAATTTCAACAATTACTGCACGAATTATCAAAACAATGAGATCCGACTTTGTCTGTTTGTTCATTTTGAAATGTTTTATAAAAAGTTGGGAAATGGTAAAAGTTGAGATGAAGAGAAGACTGTTTTTGAAATGTAATATAACCAATGTAAACGTTAAAAATAAGGAAACGTGATGGAAAAATATGAAAAAATTGCAATGATGGCAAAGCTAGTAATAAAAAAATGTGGAATGAATAAATGATGTGGCGAAGAAAATGAAAAACAGGAGAGACGATGATGAATGCGCTGATACGACCCCGTTAAATTCATCGCGAATATGTTGCATTTATTCAAAGAGTAATGGTGATTTGTGGCGAATAATGGTGTCGTTATCAATGATGATGTTGCTCGGTGATGGCAACGAAGACGATGTTGATGATGAAGTGGAAGACGATGATGAAGAAGATGATGAAGATGATGATGAAGAGGATGATTAAGACGAGAGGATGATGATGAAGATGATGAAGAGGGTGATGATGATTATTTGTTTTTCGTCATCATCTTATACTATTGCCTTGCATGCTGTAACAGTTTCTGTCTTTGTCAGATTTTGATTTTTTAAAGAATAATAAAAAATCCCAAATAGTCTTCTAAATTGTCTTCGGTTTTGGCGACCTGAAATTAGGTTTCAGCTGAAAAAATTATTGATTAACAATTATAAAATCAGAAATTAAAACGTTACGTTAAATTTTCTGTGGAAATCCTGTTGTAAAATAACATCGTCTGATGCAGACAGCGTGAAATGTAAAATTTAAATTTTCAAACCAATTTTTTTAAAAAACAGCCAAGAGGAAATTAAATGCCAATTTTGTTCATTAAATTTTTCATTTTATTCAGATACATTTTAGTGAAAGAAAAAAACTTTTGGCAGGGAGAATAAATTAATATTAAATTGATTTGTTTATGGAAAGACAACCCTCACGTCAATATTATGATGATGAGTGGTTGTCATTGTTACATTCGTCTTGACGCTCATTTTTCTCCTTATCGTTTAAACTTTAAACTTGAACTCTTATAAAGTTAAAAAAATTGATCTATAAGGACGTCATAATCATAATTTTTAGTGGTTTTTATGGCGTCATTTATCCATTATCCAAAAGATCTACAGCCATAATAAAAAGTTTCCTTCCGACAAAATATTTGTTACTCAGTAGAGTCATTTTCTAAAATGTTAGCGAAATAAGTTATAACAAACGAATTCGTTTTTCAAAACGTTATGCACATGAACTGTTGCTGATACGTAAAACTGGAATAATTTGTTCCTCTGTTGTAGAACGTTTCGGACATAAAACATTATCGCTACACGGGGAAGCAGTTGTCGTTGAAGAAGGTGATTATGATGCTGACGAGGCAAGGAGCTTGTTGTTTATAAATGGTCCGTGCCACACGCAACGATAGATTGTATCGCACTCCATGATGACGTAATAAAGTTGTGTCGCGCTGTTGGTTTCATGACGTAGCATGCATATGCACATGCATAATTGTATGAAATATAAAGTTTGCTCTTGAAAATAAATTGCAACGTCAAAGTCGACCACAACATCAACAACACTTGAATCAACACTAACAACATCGCTGTAACCACTGAATATTTGAATGATAACCATGACAGCAATAATAACGTGGACAAACTAAATTTATTTTGAAGTCATCAACAACATGTGCATTGATGAAAATTTTAATAATCTGTCTTTTAAAATCGCAGTCCCGTCAAGGAATTGTTGCACAAACAACGCAAGCACTCGCAAAATTATACATCATTTTCTAGTTTACACGAATTGTTCTTATATGCGTACATGTATGAATATGTGATTGTCAAGAACTGCGAAACACGTGCCAATGTATGCATGCTTACTTGGCTGTTTCAATAAATTGTTCCCGTTTCCTTTTCTTCTCCTTGCTTTCTTTGTTATAATGCGTAGGAAAGTTGAAGTGGAACTGCTAGTGCAGTGCTTCTTGGCAGGGGCGATGATGTTGGATCTATTCATATGCAAATAACATTGCAAGGCGACCATTTCATTGTCAACATCGTCAATGAGAGGGCTTTAATTTATTCATTCATTTGTTCCTTCTTCCATTCATTCGCCCGTGTCTAATCATCCGTTTCTTCGTTTTCTTCTCTCATTCCTTCATTCATTTTTTTATAGCTCAACTTTTCATTCAGCTTTTCTTCCATGGTTTATTTGGTCTCTTTTTGGGCATTTATTATATTCACTAACTTATATGGTGGTTTGTTATTTCTGGCTTTATTGATTTTCAATTAAACTTGTTATACAGTTTCAAAAAGATTAAATTCCCCAAAAAAGAATAAATTAATAAATTTCTTTATTGTTTTTTTTTCTATTATTGTTTTTATTTAAATACACCATCTAAACACAAGCAGAAGTATAACTTTGTATAGAAGTTCGTATGTTACTTTAAGCTTACGCAGAACATAAAATAAATTAACTTAACTATGGTAACCATCTGAAGCGGGCCTTTTTTTTACAGCAGTCACGATGAAGAATTAGAACCTTCACAAAAAACATCTACTCACTTAAATGAACTTTTCTTCTTTACGATGGCAGGAGCGCTTAAACTTAATCACTCTTCCTTGTAAACAATAAAATTCAATATTTTCCCCCCAAGAACAACAAATCCTTATGAAAAGATATGATCCTCTTGAAAAAATATGAAAAACCAACTTCATAACTGCAACTCATAGCATCAATTTAAATATTTATATTAATTATTATTATTTCCTTTTGAGCAAAATTAAGCTTTCCTTTAAATTGAAAATAATTTTGTTAGAAAATAGGTTTGGTATGTGTATGAAAACAAACAAATATTGTTTTACTAGAGTTTTCTGGAAACTGTTCAATTTATTGAATATACAGAGCAGGTTCGGTTTATATAGTTTCTTTAAACAAGCAAAGTTAGTATTTTAGCATGGAGAGTTACTTAATTGGTGTCGTATTCTTCATCTTTGTTCTTCATTGTTATTGAAGTTAGCAATATGGCGTTGAGTTGGTAATGGTGTTTTCATTCTTTGTTGGATGTTTATTTAGGGTTTATTGATATCTAATGCACTGAAAAGGATTCTTGAAAAAATCGAAATAAAGCCTAACTGTTTGGTAAATTTGGATGACAGCATTTTTATTAAATTTGCATGATGATGAACTTGAATAATAATTATATTTTCAATAAATTGAAATTTCCAAAAAATTCTAAAACGTAAAATGGAAAAGTCTAACTTTTAATTGATTAATGCCAACAATTCGGTAGAATTCATACAACACTATATAAATATGGTTTCTTGTAAATATATATATATATATATATATATATATATATATATATATATATATATATACCAATATGTATGTATGTATATAAAATATATGTATAAAAAACACCATTCACATACATACCAATATGTAAGTATGTATATATAATACCATATGCATACATGCAAAGGTGTATATACATTTTATAGAAGATGGTGATCGGGAGAACATGGAGTAACAATAGTTTGGTCGGTCCATCTCATCAATCACAGAACCCATCTCACAGATTCTGCATTTGATCAATCTATCCAGCTACAATCCATCGTTCATTTGTCTTTCATCGATCATTCCTCCATCCATTTATTCATCCACTTCTCCATCCATTTCTCCATCCATTCATCCACCCATCCATTCATCTATTCCTCCATCCAACCATCTACCTGTATATCCAGTCCTCCATCTATCCATCCATTCATTCATTCTATTTTTAATTATTCTTTTATTCATTCATTTATTTGTTCATTCACCTAGCCAGACATTCATATGTTAAACAGATAACTTGTGAAAATAATATGACAAAAATTCGAGTCAATTCATTGCTCCCACAAAAAGGGACTATTGATGCTGAAATTATTGCCAGTCATTGTTGCATGTATGCAAATAGACTTTCTGTTGTTGCGTGCCAGTCAACAACCTTTCTTAAGAAACCCACTCAAAAAAATTGTTTCTGACTCTTAATGGTTTGTTTATGAGCTTCTCAACATAGTTTGAAACCAAAAATTGAAATTTAGTCTTTGTTAAATTTGTTATAATAACAGATGTTACTGGTTTAATTAATTTTTGACTTTTACCAAAACGTTTGCTAGTTTCGTTTGCAATTGCGGGAAAAAATTTTGGGATGAAATGATTGGAATGAAGCACAAGCTGTATCATGCTATCATGTAATCATGCTACAACCTCGTAACAACACCAATGAACCTTTGAAAATCTGTTCACTTTGTTTTTTGCGTTCGGCTGAATCACACGATACTCTGTCCAATCAACAGCTGCAAAATGGACGATGAACGAAGATTTACAGCTGTCGTTAGACACAAACCGATATTTTAATCAGGACCTTACGCGTCTGTTGACACCGCATTCATTGTATTGGTAGATCCTTTATAATAATCACGCCACATCGTTTAATATCACTAGAAATGTGAACAAGTATGAAAGTATGAAAAGTCACTTTAGCTGCAACCTGCTACAACAACAACAACAACGGATGTATAAACATTTCCAACATTTAGTCCGCAACATAAACATTAAAATCTTCCCAAACTATAAAAAAAACATGACGCGTAAGGAAGAAATAAACAAAAATCTGAACGACATAGAGTGAGAATTACATGGGATTAGATTGTCTATATTGTATGAGTTGCATTCAATGAACAATTCAATTGAGGCTTAACTCTAAATAAAATCTGGAAGCAGGCGCCAAGCAGCATCAACAACAGCCGCATTCTGGCTTTTGTGAACCACGCTTCTCCAACATTTTCACCATTACCTACAAACTTATACTGACATATTTTTGAAAAAAAAATATAACAAAAATAATAAAACATGTTCATTCACATTAATTTCATAAAATAACTTTTTTAAATTAAATAGCATATCAAATTTATTTATAGCAATACTTTCAATTCTCTTTTTATAAAAACTTACCAAAACTTATCAAGACCGGCCTCACAAATTGGGAGCATTAATGAAGTGACACAAGTATATAAAATTACTTTAAATTTCAGTAAAACAATTATAAAAATTGTTGTTGGAAAGGAAATATATAACCTTAACGATGACAACCAAGACAGAAACTTGTCTGTTGATACTAATGTAAAATTGTTAAATTGGCGCCGCAAAATAAATACACAACTAGACAAAATATGGAATCACAAATTTGCGGACGCGTTGATTTAAAATCTTCTGCAGTCTCCACCATCGCGATTGGTGGCGGAGGCAGGCGAAATGATTGTTGTGTATTGTATAATGAGAGTCCCCTGACAGGCTTTCATAGTTTACGACGGGTGTAATCTTATAAAGCAGGAATATAAAAAACAACTTGTGATTTCAATTGTGTGCAGTGTTGTGTGAGGTCCATCAAATTTGATTCGATGTTGTGTAAAAGTTTGGCATATTTTGTAATTTTCAATGTTTTCTAATAAATTTGGATCAAAATTTTTGTTATCTGAATTAAAAAAAAACATTATCGTGCATTCCACAGTCTTAAAAAAGAACAATGAAATTTTTTTATTTGTAATTGTGTTGAAGAAACAATCATAAGAATCATGTTGTAAATTTTAATAGTTTGTATCTAATAACATAAGTACGTTTCTAAAACAAACTTTTTATACTAGCTTTATAAATTTTTTACTACAATACATTATCTTTCATTAGTCTTAATTTATTTAATAATAATGCTGAGGATGGTATATAAGCCAAACTTAAAAATTTTTAAAAATATGTGTTCATAGCAATACAAATCATCAACTTTTTCCTTACGGAATGTTGAAAATTTTTGAAATTTTGTTATTTAATTTTGTCCAGAAAATTTATTGCCCACAATGACATACATGATTCATATTTTCGGCGCTCTTGATAATATAAAAATAAAAAAAAATGATGATCTGATGATCTACTGATGATCTTACTTTTGTTTATGTACACATTCCATCCACTCACTGTCAGACAAGCACATTGCCATAAATAAAATAACACACAAACACACACACGCGTATTTATTAATAAAGTCGTTACTTAATTCAATTTTTGTTTTAAATCACAACCATCAAGTTGTTCTGGTTACTAAGGAATCGACCCATCACCAACAAATTATTGAAAATCTAATGAAATTCATTCATAAGACATTGTCATCACTCTTTCTATCATACGAAACGAAACGAATCGAAATTTTATTTGCTTCTCAAAATTGAAAATTAAAAGAAAGCAGGATGACCATAATAGAATTTAAAATATATATTTTATACGCAAATTTTATACGCAAAATATACTATTCATTGAATAAATTTGTTGAAAATAAACTATACTTTACATACAAAAGTGATTAGCTTAAAATTTAAAGTCGATTGATGACAGATGTTTTCTTACAAATTAATAAATTATTAAATGTAACAAATAATTTGTTATTTCTGAAAAAATTATCATAATTTGAATTAATTGTCGATGCTGGTATAAAATGTTCATTTATAAGCAGATTGAATCTCTGGCAAAGTTGTCATTATGCAAATGTGAGAGAGTTTTATTATTTCATCATTATCGCCTCGCGATGTTACTCTAAGATTTGGCTTAAGTTATTGCCACCGGCGTTATTGTTGCGGATGTTGCCGCTGTCGTTACTTCGCTTTTTATTGAGTTTCTCGTTAATGTAGTTATTTATTTTTATTTCACCTGGTGTTTTTTTCATGATTGTTTTAATGGCTATTCACGAGACAATATTAATCTATAGTGTTGGTTTTTCTGTTGTGCAGCTTCGTGAGATATTGTTCTATTCAAAATATAGTTTCCGAAACTAGGTTTGAAAACAATTTTTTGCAATAATTTGTTCTTGTGTGATCGATTGATCACAGGTATATTTAGGTACCTAACTAGGTGTAAGACATCTTTTCCAATAATGAGCAATTTATATAATATTGTATTTTCTTATTTTTACCAATTTGTATTTCTTTACACTAACTTTATTCCCACATAACCCAGCCCGATATTCTTATCATGAAGTTCAAATTCCTACGAAACCAACATAGCTTTTTTCTAGAGCATAAACCCGTAATGAATAATAAAACGAATGAGCCAAATAAAACTTGAGTATAAAGCAATCTTCATTTAAACCACTTTTTACTCGCTTTATACGGCCAAGTTATTTCAGCATAAAGATATTTAGCATTCCTATTCAGTCGCATGAATATTGCCACATTCCTCTTTTCATGACCGTAAAGAATTATTCAAAACTCCGAAAAAAGTATGAAATACTTTCTATATGATTTCTTTTCATAATTTTTTTTTGTAGCATGTCATTTGTGTTTGCCAAATGAAAAGATGAAAATCGCAAGATTGTGCCAAAAAGTATTTCGATCCATACATTCTTTCCATGAAGTTTTATTTATCAATTTGTGAGAATGAAGGAAACATCAACAACTTACAACTTTTCTCACTATCTCCATCATTTTCTTCATCTTTTACTTTTTTCCCTATATTTCTTCCTTACTCTCCTCTTAGTTATTATTTTTGTTTATTTATCTTTCTCATTATATACAGGCTTTTACACATACACCCACACGCAAAGTTACATACTACTTACCAACACACAAATACAGACACACAAACACACACACAAACACTCACAAACACTCACAAACACAAACACACACACACACACATGTAGTACACACATATAAAAGACCATAAGCAAATTTACAAACATGCATGTATGTACATCTGTGTCTAGATGTGGTTGCGTAGGACGGTGGCATGACTTATATACGTTGACACTGAAATGAAAATAGCTACACCAGGACCAATGTAATGAACATAACCTCAAGCCACTTCTTAACAAGGTTTCCTTCTTTGCCATTCATTATTCATGGTTGATATCTTTAAAGCATACATCTGCCTCTGAGTAAGTATTTGTTATTTTTGATAACATATAATTACTCTTTAATCGGTTTCATGTTAAACATGCGATTTCAGAAGTATTTCAATTTTTTTATTACGGACAAATAATTTGAAAATCTTTTGTTAAATAAAATTTCAGCATGTGTTTCAATGTAATGTTAATTATATGGGCTGGCTGAAATCATATGTCTAACTTTTTAAAACCTAAAACTTAAAATTTGAAACTCTTGTGTTAAATATATTTTTATATTTAAAATAATTACTATGAATCTAATACACTTTCAACACGTGAATCATCAAACTAAAAGTCGTTTTTGGTACCAGTGAAAACATTTTATTGAATTGAAATTAATGAAAAATGTTTTTAATTTATTGAATAGTAGGATATCATTTTTTGAGTTTCATTTTTCCTATTTTTGCTTACATGTCGTTCTATATCTACAATTATATATAAATTAAACGTTCGCTTCGCAAAGACTGAGCTATCTAAACCACACCACGCGACGCATTTAGACAGAGAGCCTACGAACCATGCCATCGCGTTATAGCAGCGAAAGACATGTCACTTCTACCGACTGAGCTAACTCGGTGACTAGCTAACTCGGTGACCAGCTAACTCGGTGACCAGCTAACTCGGTGACCAAAGTAACAGAATAAACAACGAGTACTAATGATCCGCATTAAAAACTGATGCAAGTTAACTACTACCAATTTTTCAAACCTAAAATAATTTTTGCTAGATTTTGTACAAAAAAAGAGCTTCATTATACAATCGAGGATTTCTTATTTACTAAAATGATTGCATGATAACTTTTTTTTACATGCAACTTTATGTAAAACAGAAATCCAATTTTACGTAACCACATTAAAAAGCTTGTCTGCCGATCTAATTCATAATCTTTTCCGTCTTGTGTCGCTAAATAACGCAAATAAATAATTTTCGATTTTTTTTTCAGGAAACTTACTTTTTCCACGCCAAGGATGTGATTGGATTGGCCTGATAAACATTTTGCGATTGTTTTAAAACTGCCATGTTGTTATCAAATGTTGTCATCTTAAAAATTATTTCAATCGTTTATCTTATCTAATGCTTAAGCTTCTTTGTTTTTGTGTTTATTGAAGAATAAAAATTAACTAAAATATTAACTATCACAAATATAAATTAAAACCATGTCTAACTACAGTACTGTTGCCTAACATTCTTCATTTTTTCATAAGTAATATAATTAACATGAAATAGAAACAATCAACTTCAGCTGCAACCCTCAACATAATGCTGTCAAACCGCAAGAACAAAAGAAGGCACGTTCACAACATGGCAACAAAGCTCATTGGCGCAACAACATTTCAGAAGCGTCTGTTTCTTTCGTAATTCAATTTGTGTCGACAATATGCATTCTACATTTTTTTTATTATTAAAGACTGCTAGCTACCAATATGGGAATTTGCATAACATTGATTTGTGTTGGATATCGGACGAAACTGATCAAACGTTGAAAATGAAAGTAAGTTTTCTAAATTTTCTAACTATTTTATACAGTCAAGGTTCTTATCAAAATAAAAAAAACCTTTCATTAATGAAAAATATCTTATGAACAAGTTAATTACCAATCATTTGTATGAAATAAATAGAAGGTGAAGTTAGGAGGAGAAAAATATAAAGATAAAAAATCAAGTGAGAAGGAAAGAAAGAATAGAAAGAGATAAAACAGACAACTAACTGATTTAGAGAAGAACATGCCTGAACATTTTTCAACGGATGTTTTATTTAGTTCTGCTCCGATGCTCCTCATCTATGATCTCTCATCTCTCTCTCTCTCTCTCTCTCTCTTTTGCTCTCTCCCTCTTTATTATCTTTCTTTTTTTATTCTTTTTTTTCTATCTATCTCTTTCCTTCTCTTTTTCTGCTTTCTCGTCTTTTCATCTCATTTGCCTAGCAGCTGCCGATGATATTGTGCCATTCGTTTGCGCCTTCTCACAGATAAATGACATTAAACAAAAAGATGAAATAAATTAATAATTAAGTAATTATTTTTTTAAATTTATTATTTCATTACGTAACTCGGTAAATAGTGAAATAGTGACATGAAATTGATCAGTTAAAACTTCAATTATTACATTGAAAATTATAAAATGCACTTGTTATGTTCTTGGGCTGACACAAATATTGTGAAAATTAGTAGACATGACTTAGCAAAAAACGTTTTAAATTAAAAAAAAAATAACAAAAATCAAAACGTGAACATAAAAATGAAAGTAAACATGAACAAGAACGTGAACATGAGCATGAACGTGCATATGAGCATGAACGTGAACATAAAAACATAACATGAACAATGTTTGTTTAGTTTTTATTCTTTTTTTAAATAAATAACAAGATTTCTAAAAAATCTAATCTTTTTGAAAGTTTTTTGATCAATTTAAGCTGCACCTGCAGATTGCTCTGATTTCATCACATATAATCTGCCAGTTTGATCTGGCAATGTTCTTTTAAGATTTATGATGTAATGATAGAAAATATTTTAATAAACAATTTGAAAAAATGACCGCTTTCTTCCTCGGAATGATTTACTATGTTATATAATGTACACTGGGTCGGATACAGATAATAAACACTTGTTGGTGTCACTAAAGAAGTTTTTTACTGTTAAAAATCTGTCTGAAAGTAGGTAGATGCTGTTTAATGACGCTGAAAAAATCTCAGTAAAATTCTTTAAGGTTTTCAAATATATTTGGGATAAAAATCTAACTTCTAAATTACCACGTTATGCGGCCGTATATTTATGTAAGATAATAATGTGTGAAACAATGATTTCGGACTTAGAAAATAAACAAATTTCAAAGAAAATTGGACCGGAAAGATCAGAGGAGATCGAAAATCAGGCTGAAACTTTGAATTCCATTAAAGAAAATGTTAATGAGCTAGAACAATTCACAATTTATCAGAAGGCTACAACCAGGTGCGGTACGTTTGTACAACAACTTAAAAGTTGTAGCAAAAGAACAGATTTGAACAACGTAATAAACAAAGCTAGAAGTAAACTAGCTGTGGATAATCGCAATAAATGTGAATCTAACAGTGTAAAAACTAAGTTAAATAAATGTGAACCTAATAAAATAATTGATGTCGATGATATTACTATGGTTTCACGTAAAAAAAAGATCTACACCGTTGCCAAATTATATATTGGGTTTTCTGAAACCCAAGGGCTTGAAAATTTTGATTCGGAAAAAATTTTTTCAAGTTGGTAATATCACAAGATGTTTAGCTGCTGATGTGATTGAATAACTTATAACAATGTTAAAAAGGTTTTGTGCTATCCTACGTTTAAGAGGTGGAGTGATGATGTCAAGCCGAAAGACAACCTGCTTTCAATATCTTTTAGACTATGCATCGATTCTAAATATGTGAATTTGATTACTCAAGATAATTCGTGGCCCGAAGGTGTTTTGATCAGGGAATGGTCGTTCACCAATGATGAAAAAAATAGATGAATTTTGTTTATTTTGTTTATTATTAAAATGTGGTAACTTCAAATTGATATTTTCTGTATCAATGTTTAATTGATGTTTTGGTACGGTAGTTATTGTTTATTTTCTCAATGTCTTGAATGTACTATTGTCTAAGAAATATTTTCGTTAACTGGTGTTTTATTTTGGTCGAGTACTACTAACTTAGTTGAAAGCATTGCTTTTTTAATATTCATTTCATGAAATTTTTAACTTTCCTGAATAAACCTGTTTGAAAAAAATATTCCAACGTTGCCATGATATGTCCGTGTTTACAACTTGTTAATTTTGTTTAATAACATATATGGTCAAAGTCAAAATAAAGTAAAGTAAAATAACTAAAAGATTCTCATTAAAAAAATTTATTTCAAAGCATATTTTTATTAAAAGCTAAAACCATTAGCCTACTGAGGAATATTAATATTATATATAATATAAGAAATATTATTTCGTCCGTTTAAATTTTTTCGGAGATCAAATGGATGAACAATAAAAATAAAATATTCTTTCATTAGACTAGAACAAACCGTCAGGATTCACTCAATATACATCACAGCAGGAATCGTTTTGTTCAAACCATCGCCAAATAACTTTTTGCAAAAAAAATTTAACGAAGAAAAAAAATTCAGAAACATTATTTCTGAAATTTTTGAAAACAATTCTTTTATAAACATGCAATTGAAAAATGTAATATTAACATAAACTTATATAACATTTTTTGATTCATAGATTTAGAACTTTGAATGTATAATTTGGACAAGCAATTAACGCGTTATTCAGTCTATTTTTATGAAAATAAATATAAAAGTGATATTAAAGCCAAGAACGTTTTCAGCACAATTGCCCATTTATCATGAGCGCTAATAACAAACTCATAAAAAGCAGAGCAAGCAGGGAAGCATTTGAAAGAAAGACAGGCACCAATGACCATCCGGCCTCGACCTTACAATGACCAAGTGAAAGTTTGAAAAATTATTTATTTCTTTTCTGCAATCTTTTCTCGATTTTCAGTTCTTTTTTGTTTTTTAATTTTTTGTGTTGAAGAATTTGAGAAACATTTGCTCTAATTATTTTGTATTTGTATCTACACCTATCGATTTATGTTTTTTGAGCTAGTTTTGGTTTCATTACATTTTATGAAATTTCTCAAAAGTTGATCTCAAAATTTATGCTGGTAAAATATCTCTTTACTGTCAGACGCGTTTGACTTTAACAATGTTTTCATTGACACGTTTGCATCACATTGTTAATCACGGTATTGCTTCTTTTGTTGGAAAATATTTTTTTGCCAATTTAAAAATTTAGTTGAAAAGTTTGTTTCTTGGGTGGTTGTTTTTAGCTAATTATTAGATCAATAAATGAATTGAATTGTTTTCTGTGTTGATTCTTTTGTTGGTTACGTGTTGTGTGCTAACGAAAGAAGTATAAGTAGGAGGAGTTTGTCACTTCGGCTTGTCACATCGCATGTTGTTTTATTTTCTGCTTGGAGATCTAACCAAAAATTGTTTTTTATGGTTTTTTCTGTTTATTTCATCTTATTTTCCAGAACTAGCAACTTATCATAAGATGATGCCACAGCAGCATTTGTCGACAAATATAAAAATATAAAACTTCTGTTTCAATATGGCTTAAATATTCAGAAAAATGAAATAGAATTATTTATACGCTGAGCTAGTTTTAACAACTAAATACATTTTTTACGTTGGGAAAGCATTTAACATTGATCACAGAATCACGCTTTGTGAATTTTGTGTAGGTTGGTTAAATAAGCTAAAATTGACTCTTATGATTCGGAAGCCGATTGACTCTTATGATTCGGATTATTCGGAAGCCGGTTGAAACATCATTTTACCAACAAAACGAAGCACAATTAGCATTTTTGAAGAGTCACTCTACAGATTTACAACACAATGCACAATATTCTGTATGTTTAAACACATTTTTAAAAAAAAAACTTTTATAAAAATTAAAATCAGGTTGTTAAAATGAAAATTGAATTTTTTATACTGAAGTTTATATAAAAAATGGAAATCTCATAAAATTATTTTCAACACTTTTACATAAAAGTAAATAAGCATGTTTCGACGTGGCAAAACGACACAATTCGAAACGGTTCGATCGAATCTCATACGAAACGAACGAAAAGGGAGAAGAAGCAATAATTTAAGCGTAAGGAACGAGAAATAACATCAACGCCGCCATAAACTACAAGCTACTGCTGACACCTATGAACGAAAATTATAACAGGTACAGAAAGGTTAAACGCCTCATAAGGTTACCACTACCACCGCTTCTACTACCAAGTTTAAGCTGCTTGTTACCATCACTGCTACTTCAACTTTCGTCTTACAACAAACATTTCACTTTTTACTGCATACATTTATAAATTTTTAACTAAATTAAAATTAGATATTCACTCACGTACGTACATTTAACAAACTTGTTTCAAACCATCTTCGTGCTTTCTTTCGAGTAAGTGAAAGAGTCCAGGTAAGTTCTTCCTTGGTGGAAAGTTTAAAAATGTATTTTGTTGCATGCTAAAAAGTCAATATTTACGACATATTACAGATCAAAAATAAATGAAGCTACTGAAAAATATTAATAACTGGCGGTATGTTTATGCCAATTATTTAAAGTTTTTTTTAATTTTAATGAACACTTTATTATTATTAATAAATAAAAATAATAGCAATATATTGATGTCATTACTATTTTTTCTCTCCTTCCGAGAAACATCTCACGAGAAGATCATCAGACACTCAGCAGTACAATGCAATTCTGCAATTTGGAACCGCAGCAGTCATTTCTTTTAATAATGGTAAAAAATGATTTACGAAAATTCCTCAGTGACGACCAGGATGAACATCTGACTGAAACATAGACAACAGAAACATAGGCAACTGCAACATAGACAGCTGCAACATAGACCACTACAACATAAACAACTGCAAGATAGACAGCTGCAACATAGACAGCTGCAAAATAGACAACAACAACCGCTACAACAACGTCAACTATTACTATGACTTCTGGTGCGTAACATTTTAAAACGGCAACGAATGTTTCTTGCGATGTAAAGTATGGTCATAAACCTGTCCATGCATGGTATAAATAATACAAAAAATGAATAACACAAAAAGAAAAAATATCAGAGGAAATAATTGGAAACTGGGAAAATATGGTATGAGCTTTCGTGCCAAAGGAATTTTTGCATTGCTCGTATTTTTAGGATCTTTGGAAATGTCTTTCAAAAAATTTATTTATAGAACTTTTGAAATAAAACGACAAAATTAATTATCTCAATTTAATAATTTCAATGAGGTTTCACAATTAACTCAAAATTATTATTGAACAAATGTGTTGCAATGACACCTAGTAAGAAACATTTACATTCTATTCAATCATAATTTTATAAACACATCCCCAAACAAACACCTCACAAACCAACAACCACATTCCTGATACAACAACATCAACAAAAACAACAAAACAGTTTTCATACCTGAGTCCTAAACATAACTTAGTTACAACATAATGACAAAAACGACAACAATTTAAAATGAGAGTTGAACACTCTTTAAATTGCAAAACAAAAACAAAATAACAAAAGAAACACATCATTTGGAATGAAGGCACGAGGAAATTGTTAAACGAAATCGTAGTGGAAGAAATTGAACTGAATGTTGAATTTTTGTTTAGCTTTTGTCGCCACCCTTCACACTTCTTTCCATCTACAAAACAATGCAATTGATGGGTGTTTTCTACATGTGTGGCCCTAAGTTGTAGCATTCCTACTCGTACTATTGTTGATATGTGTGTAAATTTCATCTAGATTTGATTACATTAATTACAATAAGAGTCTTCTGTAATTATCGCATAAAATTTATTTTTAATAATTAATTCTCAACTTTCACCACAACTACAACCAAAACCATCACCACAACTACCACCACAACTACAACAGCAACTACTACAACCACACGAAAGCTCAGACACACAAGCTTATAGGTCAGCATAAATTTATACAGAAGTCATGTCGGAGTTTTGAGGTTGTGGTAACCATGCATCTACAAGATGGTGATGACGATGATGATGATGATGATGGTGATGATGGTGATGATGATGTTTAGGATAAATGATGATGATGATGTCGAAAATGAAAATCGAATGACGACGATAACTTACCTGATGATCAAACGGAAAGTATAATTATGAAAATGGTGGCAATGATGATGACACCACAGCTTGAAAGAAAAAAGAAAAATAAAACCTTTTTGGACATAAAAACGATAATGAGGGAATTTGAGTATAATAATGACGTTTTGTTTATCACTTTTGTAAGAAAAATAAAAAAAAAACAAAACTTAAATATGACGATAGTAATTATATCAGAATATTAAAATTTTTTTGTAACGGTCGAAAATTCGATGTATATAGATATCCTAAATGATCACACAGTTCTACATAAGAAACATTCCCATCGAAGACAATCGGCTCGGTTGCTAGATAATGGATCGTACGACAACGCTGAACAGTTTGGTGTAGTTTTTAATGATTATTATCCTATCGTTATTGTGGAAGAGTTCATCTTTATGATGATGATGATGAACCCAAATGTGACATTGGTCTTATTTTATAGTAGCATGTCCATTCAACTTTTAATTTTACATCAATCATACATTGTCAGGAGGCTAGCAAAAATACTAGATATTTTGCATTATTGGACAATATCAGGACAAATAAACATCAAGCCAATTCAAAAACATGTTAGACAAATTAATTTATTCAAATTTTTTACTCATTAACCCTATATTCAAAGCAATCTTATATTATTCAACAAAACACTAATACATATATCCGTCTCAAATGAGTATTAGTCTTGTAAACAGAAACCCGGAGCTCATTGCATGTCAGAAAAAAACAACTTTTATAACTAATTAGTGTGTAAATGCGGTTAACCATTTATAGTCAACAACATAAGAGCATGCTTTCAGAGTGATGGTGATGTTAATGATAACGATGATGATTTTGAGAGAATGGCGATGATGAGGAAAATGATGGTGGAGAAGATCACGATGATGATGATGATGGTGATGACGATGATAACGATGATGATGATATTGAGATGGTAGTGGTGATTGTGATGGTCAGAGTGTGATGGTGATCCATCATCTGTCAGGTGAGTATCTCCCATATGTGTTTTTGCTATCTTAATTATACTGGTAACTCGATATCTCCCAAAAGTAATGACGGATACATGATAAATTTAGTTATTTATCTGTACTTTTGAGCGAGGGTTGTATTTGTATAACTATTTCATTAAATTTTAGAATTTGTAAAATCCATGTTTAGTTAGTAACGAAACTGCTTAACTAACTTAAAATGGAAATTGTAATTACATTTTTTTTTATAAAATACTAATTTATTCAATTTGTTTGCATTTATCTTTAAAATCTTTTAAATCGCAAACATTCATATGAAAATCTAAATTTATTTTAATACAAATTCTATGCCATCTTCTTAAAAAAAAACTCAAATACTGAATTACGATCTACATTTGAACAAGCGAATTCATATACGACTAAACCGGCCCAGCACAACAACACAAAGACTACTTTATAATTGCCGATTTAATCTTCATCTGATTTCACGGACTACACGTGCGTAAATGTTAACAAATGACGCGGCGAGTGGGATGCATTCGATGATCGTCGCAATGATAATAAACAGAACATTGTTCAAGAAGAACATAACGTTGGAGGATATCTCAATGTTGGATGATACTACAATGCTGGATGATGCTACAATTTCGGATGATACCATAATGTTGGATGATACTACAATTTTGGATGATACTACAATGTTTGATGATACTACAATGTTGGATAACACCTTAATGTTGAATGATATCATGTTGGATATTACAAAATTGGGTACCGATTCATTGGACGTTTCAAAAATGTTGTATGACACCATAATGTTGCGAGATGTCATGGAGTTGGATGGCTACATAGACTCGGATGATATTATAAAACTAAAAGTTGGAAATTATATATGACTTACTCATTCAAATATAATTATTATAAATTTGCACGTAAGGATGTTTTAAAAGTTCTATCTTTTGCTATGGATTCACGTTATTAGACACTGGGCATTAATTCGACATACAAAAAAAAATATTGAAGATGCGGTTAAATCAAACAACGAAGAAATTGTTTGAAAATAAATAAAGATGTTTTTAAGTTTATTCATTAAAAACTGATCGAGCTTTTAAATTTTTTTTTTAATTTCGAGCATTACAAAAACTGATAGCACGTTATTGATGGACGACGAAAAGGAGCGGCAATATGCAACGCGGGAAGAACAAGAAGCTGGAGCAACTCTCCCGTCATAGACACGTTATGCCATATTAAAAGTCAAATGTCCTTTGACAACATAAACAATACAACATTCGCAGCAGACAAACAGACAGCCCTGCGTTACTGCAAATTCAATTTTGCAATAATCTATCAAAACATTTGTTTTTTTCGGCAAACAGTACACGGTAGAAGATTTCATGTTTTTTTGAGTTTTCAATTAAATTGGTACGACTATGTTTTGTGTGAAGTTCCATAAAAAAATTTACATCAATCATTGAAATAGTGAACAAATAATTAAAACTTCAAACTTTCATGTTCTTTCGGTTTCGTCACACTTTTCTCTCAACAAATTCAATTACTTTTCATAACATAGTTACTACATTTTTCAAATTGAATAAAAAATTGTTGTATATCTATATACAATCAGTGTTAATATGAAGATTAACAACAACTTTATAAAACATTACAGGCGTGTTATATGAGAACAACTTAGTTTAGCACGTGAAAACTTCTGACTGCTCAAACATCTTCGTTAAAGAAATTAGCATTGGCGATAAATTTAGGTGACATAAAATAATTGCCATCAACTTCAACTTGCAACAACAACGTATCAACAACACAACAACAACACGCCAACACTGCCTGCCATACAACAGCACATGCTATGCAATAAACGATCTTGTGCATTAACAAAAATGAAACATTACACAACACAACTGCATGAACCCTCATAAACATTATAAAAACGAATCCATTAGAAGAACAACGTCTAAATCACAAAAGACGAGCAAATGATAGCACAATACAACACAATATTATGATATCATAGACAACAAAAACGTTCAAGATACTCCGACAAAAAACTAGAAGGCACAAAACAATGCATTAAAATACAATACACCATAAATCACCTACAACGTGCCGAGAACAACAGGACACAACACATTGCAATAACAACAACACAACAACAACAAAAGCAAAAGCAGTAATATCAACAACATAAACATCATATCACAAAAACACATCACACTGCAGCAGCAAGACATTGAAATAACAAAAAGACGATATTAACAGTAACAACAACAAAAAATTACATTTCAACAACGATACATTGAAACAGCAACACAACAATAACAACAACAACACATCTTACTGCAACAACAACCATTGAAGAAGCAACGCAACAACAACACAAGCCAGCACAAGTTGGCACAAACACACAAGTTGAACATAGGTACTTATGAAAAAATAATATGTACGAGATGTTATCTTATTCTTCAATATTGAAAAATTATTTGCATCTCCGTGTTTATGTGACCGGTTTGCAATTGATTTTTGTTCATTCCTCCATTCAATCGTTCGTTCAGTCGATCTTTCTTTATTTTCTTCTTTATCACTTGTTGGTACGAACCTCCATATAAATAAAGTTAAGAATAATCGTTTATGATTGCCAACATGCGTGTACCTCGCACGCCTCTCCATCCCTCTCCATCTCTCTCCATCCCTCTCCATCCCTCTCCACCTCATTCTCTCTCTCTCTTTTTTATATTTCTCTCTTTCATATTCTCTCCCTCTTTCTTTGGCGTTTTCTCTTCGTTTGTTTTAGAAATATTCAAATGTGATTTCGTTTTTGCTGCAAAAAACAAACAAAAAAGAAAGCAGAACTTGAAAGAGAAAACAAAGTGATGCTATTTCAAAGAGAAATAAACCGAATTGAAGTCCCACAAATCAGAGTGTGAAATGTTAAGAGGAATAAACAAAGAATACATGAGTCCAAGCGGTAGCACAACAACAGTGTAATACGCAGAATTGAAGGCTTCCTCAGACTTCATCAACCAAATATCAATTCACAATTTTGAACTATTTGATAAATTAAATTTTGGATGCACACTCTTTGATACTGTCTGAAATATATTCAATTTTTATAAATTAAAATGAAATAAACGGCTGGCATTAAATGAAAAACAAATTTAAATTAGGTCGCCAGCTAACCAGAAATCATGGTTACCTACCTAAGGATGAATGCAGGAGCCAAACATATTTCCTACCAATCAAAACGGCGTCCTCCAACTGACATGCGTTGTTGGTTCCAATTGTTTTAAATACTCTCATACCAGAAACAAATATTCTCAAGTAATGGCATTTGAATCAGTTACACGGTCACGCTCACAATCACGAACCAACGTTGATTCATACACATATATGCCCGCAAAAACCAACACGCAAACTCACGGACAGTCACACGCACACACAGACACACGTGCAAACACATGCGCAGACAGCACAGCACACGGACAGACGAAAGTGTAGATGTGGGCATAAACATGGAACATGTGTGCGGGGCATTTAACGCCAGGAGTAATAAATGTTTATAATGTCTATAAAAACGTTTCTTAAACAAGGAAATATGCCTGGGCATATGTTACGCTCGTATAAGCATTGATATGAAAATTTACGCAGCTATTCGAATTCAAGGCATCATATTTAGGTTGAATTTTTTTAATGTTTTTATTTTTTTCATGTTCTTGTTATTATTATTAATATTATTATTTTTTTTCTTCTTAACTCTAATTGTTCCCTTGTTCTGAAAATATTGAATGAAATGTTTTTGAATAAAGAAATGTTATGACTGATGCAAATGCAACTTTGAGGTATTTTTATATAATTTTTGAAGATGCACAAGTGATTAAATTGAGAACATGAATTCAAAAAAACAAAACAAAATTTCTTTTACCTCAGGAGCAGGTGTTGGTCCAACATTCGATACATGGACAAAATTCCCTTCAACAGTTTCATTAATTTTGATTTTGCATTATTTTTCTAACACTTCATAAATATTTAATTACTTCTGCATATATTATTAATAACGTGAAATTTTATTCAGACTTTTGTCTTCATATAGAAATAATTAATTGGAAATTGTTTGCATCGTTTAACCATGTTATTGTTTTTTGTATTTATAAAAGTTTAAAAACCGATTAAAAACCGAAGTATGTTACAATAGCTAATTATTTTTATTTATAATGTGAAATATAGTCATCATTTTTAAAAATAATGTAAAATAATTTAATTGAACATCAACATACAGTACATAAAATATCTCTACTAAATTATATGACCATTCATTTGTAACATTATGAGGAATTATATGGAGACCACGGTCAGTTCATCCATCCATCCATCCATCCATCCATCCATCCATCCATCCATCCATCCATCCATCCATCCATCCATCCATCCATCCATCCATCCATCCATCCATCCATCCATCCATCCATCCATCCATCCATCCATCCATCCATCCATCCATCCATCCATCCATCCATCCATCCATCCATCCATCCATCCATCCATCCATCCATCCATCCATCCGTCCGTCCATCCATTGTAGCAATGTTTAATTTAATGCTGGGGCATAATCGCTCATCTACCGACCTCACAATTGAATTAGCACGAGCAACAAGGCTCTATAGATGGCGCATCATTTGTTTTTAATAGGTACGGTACATCCTGATACTTTCAATTTTATAAACTTTATGAACTATGTTAGAATTATTTAATCATTTGTTTTAAAAAGTATGATGCAAAAAATGTATTTGCACTGCTTCAAAATAAAAAAAATAATATTTATATATATTTATTATAGAATGATAGCTAGATAGCAGCTTGAAATCTATTTCTAACTCATTCAGATAGGAATTCCTGAATGTCAATCCTTAAAAAGTTGTGTATCTATAATTTGTGTAAAATCTTACAAGCTCAGTGCTGACTTTTGAAATTTAACGGTTAGGATATCATTTCGACAATTTTCAATATATACAACAATTTCCGTTAAATTGGTTCAGAGTGAATTATCTAAGCAAATCCAGTCTGTGAACAAATAAGAAATTCATAAGAAACCATTAAAAAATAACTTCTGTAACAACGTTCTAAATAAACAATAAAAATACTTTTATTTATATTATTTGCTTGAAAGGAAGTGAAAATACAGCGCAAAATATGTGTAGGCTGAAAAAAAACATGCCACATGCAAAAGAACGCGCATCAAATTCATCTGAAATTAATGCAAGCATGTAATCGTGTGAGGCTAATATTTTTAAATCAAACGAATCATTCATCTTGGCACGAAGATGTCATACGTAAGACGCCTGGGCAACAAATCCTGTCTGGAACATGTCAACGAGATCACTCGCTCAAACAAATTTGTTTGCATTTCCCCCGTTCGCGTGTCTTAGCAGCGCAAACTAATGAATAAATAATGTGTATTTTATAAACTTAAAACCATTTGTTGAGTTTGTGGATAAAATATTAATAAATTTGAAACTTTTGAAGTTTCACAGCAAGGTTACTGACTGAATTAACCATAAAGAATTGATGAAGACCTGGTGTAAACATAGAATCAACGGTACATATGTAATTTTGTTTGTAAAAATATCGAAAAGAAATTGGTTTTCATAATTTCTGTAATAACTTCATTTCTCACGTTGATTTATAAAGTAAAATAAAGCATGAAATAGAAAGCAAAATAAACAAATTATACACTAACTTTTGCATTTTGTGGAAAAGATATGGAAACATAGATGAAGGTGAAAAAATTTCTTGTCTTAAAATATACATATGTAAAATTGAAAGTGCATGAGGTGCGACTCAGAAATCGGTTATCTCGTTGGGTGCTGACTTTTGATAAGGATCAAACAACATATCCAGGAGAAATTATTCTAATTTAAGCATAATGGTCAACTCTATTGTAAAGTGTATAGTTATGTAATTCAAAATTTTATTGAGAATGGCTTTTTTTTAAATAAAACTACAAAATATTTTATTCAAACTGAAAAGTGATTATTATCGAAATTTTTATTCTGTGGTTATCGGTCGAAAATTTTGTAACGGAAAACCTACAAAATTTGAAAAAATAAACTAAACTTTTTATATTATTGAGAAACAGTTTATTGACGGTTTAAGATTACCTACAGAGATTATGGTGCGGAATATAAGGAGAATTAATTATCATTGATAATTCTAAACATAAATTTGTTTGTGCACGTGTGTAGGAACTTGTCAGAATAAATACTGATAAGACGTCTTCCAGCTAGCAAGTGATCCTGTGCGAACGAGTTGCAGAATGAGAGTAGGAGCAGAGGGAAGCATATTATACAATGATGTAGTCGAACGATTGTTTGTGTTCGTGGCCATTAAACATCATGATTGATTGCTTAGTCATTACGATAAACATCTTGCCATGCATTCTTTTTTTTTCTTTCCATTGTTTGCCGCCTTCTTCTCCTCTCCTTCCAAACTCACTTTGTTTCTGATAACGTGATAAATGTTGGAGTTATTATAAACGGTGTTGCACGGGCAATTATCTAATTATCATTTCCTCTGTTGTGTTTTCAAATTTTTTTCACAAGTTGTAGATTCCCTTCAACGTTCATGTTTCTCCTATTTGAAACGTTAGTTTTCAAACAGTTGTTTAAATCGCTCTACAGTTTGAACTTTCAAAAAAGTTATTAAATTTTTAAACAACTGTTATCTCTATGCAAACTTCAGGGAAAAAATAAATTTAGTATATAACTTTGAAAAATGAATTGTACATTGGATACGAGTATAGAAATAAAAATTTGGAAATTCCAACGAATCAACGTCCAGGTTTGCATGCATTTTAGAAATTAATATAGAAGTTTCAAGTTGAAAATGTTGCTATTAAAATTCCATACCACTGCTAACATATAAACGTTTGTGATACTGGCGTTATTTATCAGTAGCGTAAATGTTTTTAAACAAAGTTACACTACCAACCAAGCCAACTATTCCAACTGGTTCAATATGAAATATCGTTTGTTCAAATTATTCAAATTTTTAAAAAGATTGATTAGGATCAAATCTCTGGCTATGATTTAGACAAATTCAAAATAGTACGTGCGAGACAATCAAATATAAACTAACTTATTAACAAAGTTTAATGCTGCTATATCCCAACGTCAAGCAAACAAAGCCAAAGCAATTTATTATTAGTAAGAGTCAAAATTTAAATAATTACTTAACAACGCTATAGTGAATCAAGGCATTATTCAAAAGAAAAATTTTAAACTTCAAAGACAAATTCAAAAACATGCAAACATACAATCATACAAACCTAACAAACCTAACCCATTACAAATGCCAAAACAAGACACTCACACTCACAAACAGGCAACAGCAGAAATGCTGCAAAAACCTGACTGAAGAGAGCAAGGAGCATGGTTGCAGAGAGTAAAATAGTAGAAAGGAGCGTTTAATATTTCGACATAAACATGCGATAGAGGCAGAAAAATAAGTGAGCATTGGAACGCGTAGACTTCATTTATAACGAATGTTTCACATTCAATTTCGCATCTCTGCGATCGGGCAATTTTGTTTTTATCGTAAAGTATCACAGACGGGAAGAAATTATAAACTATTAAACGTTCAAATTTCAACTTTTGTTTTATTAAAATTTGATATATAGTTTTCAATATTTAAATCTATTAAGAATAGCATTATATAGGTTTCAAATCCATGTTAAAATGAACAATAATATGAATTTATTTTTTGGGAAATTAGCTATCTGCTGGTTTCAGCGCAAAACTCTTAACATCAAAAAACATTGATAAGCGCGTTATTTTATTTCAAAATAATATTTCAAAGTTGACGTTAGAAATCAGGCAGACTTTTAAAAAACTAATGCCACTACGAAGTAAAAACAAGCAAATTAAAGAAGAAAAAATTATCGGTCCGACTGTAACAACAGCAAATTGTAAATGAATTTAAAACTCTACCACCAAAAAAACCGACATAGAAAAGAATCACCAGCCACAATTTACCACTCGACCACTCCACCACATGACCACACCACCACATGACCACACCACATCATGGCTGCACCAGCACACGACTACACTACATCGTGACCGCACCACAAAACAGAACGCCGCTGCAGACTACACATGTTTCCAATTGGCTTGTTTATTAAATTTTTCTCAAATCAGTTACAAAACACTTTTTTAGAAAATTTAATTTGTTTTCTGATCCAATTTTTTTTGTTTCGTTCTAATCAATTTAAAAATTTAAAATTTTTATTAAAAAACAGAATCTCAAAAATATTTCATTAGAGAAAAACTTGTGAAAAAAAGCATTGAAAGATAGGCAAAAATTAATTTAAATCACTTTGATGAATCATTCTTATTTTAAATATCATTTTTTAAACAACTTTGTTTACAATGATTGAAAAACTAGTTATAAAAAGAAAAAAATGATTCAAGTGAACAAGACGTTGACATGAAAAAGACATCAATTGTAATAAAACTAGTATCCACTTAAATAAATGAAAATAAA